AGAGGGGTTGGTAGCCTAAAAGTCTCATTGCGCGCAGCGCATTAGGAGCAGCGCATTACGCACAGTGAGGCCGCATTAGGAGCAGCGCATTGGGCACAGTGAAGCCGCATTAGGCGCAGCGCATTGGGCACAATGCGAGATCACATTAGGAGCAGCGCATTGGGCACAGTGAAGCCGCATTAGGCGCAGCGCATTGGGCACAATGCGAGATCGCATTAAAGCAGCGCATTGGACACAATGCGAGGTCGCATTAGGAGCAGCGCATTGTGCACAGTCAGGATTGACAATTCATCCATCCATTTTATCATTGTTTAAGGAATCTATAAGGACAGGCCAGACTCGACTTTTAGATAGTAGCAACAGTGATTCGACTTGACTTGGTACTCGAATTTGATAGAACTAGATTGGTGACACGTTACTGTAATTTAACAGCTTTGCCTTTTGTTGTTACAGTGGAATCATGTATGTCTGAAATTGGTCAGACGAAACAATAGGAAAATATATTTGTCTTATTGTGCCAGATAACTTCGATGAGAATATAATGATTATTAAGACATACCGAAGATTTATAGACGACTGCAAACTATTTTGGACATGAGGATCAGAAAAAATTCATATCTGCAGTTATAGCTTGTTTGTCTAAAGGAGTTAGACTATGATCTAACGAAAGCTTACAAATATACCTGTTATTTCGTGAAAAGAGATAATGCCATACTTATTGACATAAATTACTCAATATAAATCCGCTGAATACTTTTCAATCAGCTTTATCATCCAAGTTCCCCACTGTTAATGATGCATTCAAAAGTTTCATTGATTCATCAACATACCAGGCGCGATTCTCACTGTGCATGTTTACTTGCGGTTGCTTTTTTATCATAAGTATGTTTGTTCAAAGAATTCTTGCTATGATCCAACGAAACGTTAGAAAAACACATCTGACTTAAATTTGCCCCATGATTCTGAATCACATATAATTCAGTTCAGAATAATCATTGAAGATATAGATTGAGTTCAAAATTAATTTAAATCGTGGAAACAACATTAAAATAGAGAAATATAAAAGCGATAATGCGTTACAAGATTTAACATATTTGTGAACTTCAGAGTATATTTTCAGAAGTGAGGCAGTATTTATTAGATTTTGATTATTCAATGTAAATTATTAAGGAAATGTAACTGGTAAACTGTTCATGGAAGTACAGTTTATGTCTGAATACTTTTTTAAACTGAATAGGTCAAGCGCAAATCTTATAGAAAATTAAAAACAAACCATTTTCTGATTGCGGCAATGTTTATTTTAAAATCAAATCATTTTATATGTTGTTTTTGTGATTTTCCTGTATTTATCATAATGATATTTATCATCATATTGACGGTATGTAGCATTAAATGCATATTCATGTGTGGGTGATGTACACCGATAAAATATAGCCAGAAACACAAAACATGTGGCTTAAATTGTTCGAGTTGTTTCAATGGGGTAAAAGGCAATCTATAGAACTTTTATTAAACAAAGCCTGGACGACCTGAAGTATGCGCACCAAGATGGCGCACAACCTGAACTCAGGTTGTACACAAGGTTAGGGTTCAGGTTGTGCGACATCTTGGTGCACATACTTCACGAGTACCCAAAGCCTTATACAACTTTGATTGTTTATGCCTAAATGGCTATGAGTAACTATAAAACTTTTTCCAAAATTGCTCTTTTCCAGTTTCCATTTATCAATAAACATTTCCAATCGTTTTTTTTTTTAAAATATCGTCACGCTAATAACCGAATTGCGTAAGTCATATTTAGCAGTTTTGAGAAAAACATAAAAAACTTCCTAATGATATTGTTATGCCATTGAGAGTCAATAATTTGTCATGGTTCAATTTTTTGATTGTTGCCGAATTTGAGTTAATTTGTATGACGCAGTTAATTAACGCACTGTGACTTAGTCAGAAATGTGTCAATGACTTGGGGACATACGCAATTTTGCAACTTTACTATATGCACCAGTCCTGGAAACTAAACATTCCAAAATCGAATGTAATTCTCAGTATCTACAATGTCTAATCCCCAAAATAGCTAATCAGTTTCAATTACATTATTTTTTATGTTTAAAAATATATATTTTATCAATATAACACGCTTTGCACACCCACCGAAATAAGACTAAGATTAAATATAAAGAATAAAACAGCAATGCACCCAATATAAAAGCCAACCAAGGTGGATTGGACTCGGACAGTAAATATCACAAGTGCACGTCTTCCTATACTGTAGTATAAATTCAAATTAATACGCGCGCCGTATGCCTGACGACGGTGAAAAATGCATAAATGCGTGGCATGCGGAACTTAGTTTCACAGAAAATGTCTAAGAGAACCTCCTGAAGTAAACCACGAAGAAGATTCGAAATGGACTTGCGACGACTGCGAATCCACAGGGATACATTTCGAAGCTTCACGAAACATTTTCATGAAGTCGTCAAAAAATGAGCCAGAGGAAACGGATAAATAAGTTTCGATATATAAAGACTTCTCAATCGTTTTTATCAAATCTAGGGAGAAAAGGTTGGGAATAATAATACACGAAATGGTTCACGCCGCTGGGGTTTTGATGCATGAAGGTGGAAGTGAACATGGACCTAAATTTCAAAAAAGAACCCGCCGTATGGTCAAACAATTAAAATATCATCAGAAGAAACTCCTTCCAGAGCTGAGACATCTGAGCATAAACTTCAAAGATATAAGCAAATAATTAAAATATGTTATGACTATAAGTGATTAGAAAAAAATATTAATAAATGACAGTTCAAATCTCTTTCCTTTATGTTATGTGTGTGGTATAATTAAACATAATATCATTTTCCACTGCTGTTGTTTTTATTTTGCATAAAGATCGAGGTTAAGAACGATATAATTGCATTCAATTCAGGATGGAGGAAAGTTGATATCATCATGTGAATTAATCGCACATATTTATGGGAACACTCATAACTTTTTTCTAAAATGCATAGCAGATGTATTAGTAACTTCTTATTCAAAGCCTTGTTGAATGGGATGTATGGAATACCCCATAAAATTGGGGCTACATATCACCGGCCCGAGTCCCAGCAAATTCGATTGCCAAGTCAAGTCGAATTCTATTTAAAAGTCGAGTTCGACTTTATAGATTCCATAAATAATGCTAAATCCTGACTGTGCGTAATGCGCTGCTGCTAATACGGCCTCACTGTGCCTAATGCGCTGCTCTTAATGCGACCACGTATTGTGTCCAATGCGCTGCTCCTAATACGTCTTCACTGTGCTCAATGCGCTGCTCTTAATGCGGCATCACTGTGCGCAATGCGCTGCTCCTAATGCCACCACGCATTGTGCCCAATGCGATCTCGCATTGTGCCCAATGCGCTGCGCCTAATGCGGCTTCACTGTGCCCAATGCGCTGCTCCTAATACGATCTCGCATGTGCCCAATGCGCTGCGCCTATTGCGGCTTCACTGTGCCCAATGCGCTGCTCCTAATGCGGCCTCACTGTGCCCAATGCGCTGCTCCTAATGCGATGCTCGCAACGAGCAAATTACAGTAACGTATCATCAGCCGAGTTCCAGCAAATTCGAGTACCAATTCAAGTCGAATTACTGTTGCTACTTTTTAAAAGTCGTGTCTAGCTTGTCATTATAGATTCCATAAACAATGATAAAATGGATGGATGAATTGTCAATCCTGACTGTGCCCAATGCGCTGCGCCTAATGCGGCTTCACTGTGCCCAATGCGCTGCTCCTAATACGATCTCGCATGTGCCCAATGCGCTGCGCCTAATGCGGCTTCACTGTGCCCAATGCGCTGCTCCTAATGCGGCCTCACTGTGCGTAATGCGCTGCTCCTAATGCGCTGCGCGCAATGAGACTTTTAGGCTACCACCACTAATGGGATTTAGAAGACAATATTCAATTTTTTCTCAAGCCCTAATCAGCTGCAGAGCAATCAAGTTTAGCTATAAACATTGATTCAGAGATCGGTGCAATTTATCATGGCTGGACTAGTGTAACATCGGAAGTCCTAAATAATATTAATGTAAAGGAAAATATCCTGCATATTATTTGAACATCGATCATTTGTGAGGGGATAACTGGCAGCAGTAATTCCAGTCCCACAACGAGTCAACATTTTGAACATAATTCGAACAAGGGCCTCCACAGCTTAGATTGCTTGATTTAAGGTATTACATATTTTTCTAACCATCTGTTTCAAGAATTCACAATGTTCACCACTGGTGTTGATATCATCATGTTAATACCTTGAAAATTTTACAATTTTTTTACTAGGATAGGATAGGATTTACATATTTATCCCGGGGGAGAGGAAAGTCGATAAGACGGCTTATCCATATGGCGAACCACGGCCTCTCGTCCGGTTACCATTCCGAGTCGGGTATGGGATTAGTTATATTGTTTTCGGAAGCATGGACTTGGAAAGAAATTATTGTGCACTAACAAAGTACTTGAATCAGTAATTTCAGCTTGTTTGTCTGAGCGTAATACCTTCTATTTTTATTTCCATTAACAGTATCATCTTGCGAATGACATAACAACACTGCTATGTGGGCACTTCCTTTGAGCAATAATAGGAAATTTCTTTTATCATTATTTTAGATCACTAAATTGTGAAATATTTATTTCATCTGGGAAAAGTGTTTTGAAGATTTCCCTTGTTTCACTTCTATTACGAGCTCAGGGACTCATAGCCAATTGAATATACATACACCTGTCCATAAGTTTCAGTTCCTTTACACAAATTGATGTAAAGTAGGCGAACAAAATTAGTTGAGGAGTGCCCAAATTTATAATTGTACAATTATTTTTAGTAAACAAACTGTAATGTGAGAAATTTGGTTCAAAACCTGACATAACTTCGATTCAAAATATTTGAAGACAAACCTTTTTCATCTTTTTAGTCAAAGAAAATATTGTCTACAATTCAAAAGAAGATATGATGGTTGGATATGATGGCTTTGTTGACTTGGGAGAGTCGAGAAAAAGTTCCTGCACACAATGCACTGCAAGTTTATGCACATGGTTTGATTGGGAAGTTTTCAAAGCCCTTGACGGTATCCGCTCAGACCATCTCGCCAGCATTTTCTGGGAAAGTGTTGGAGAAGTGGGTTTGGGGCTCATTACAGATGGACTTAGTGCAAACCGTAAAATGTTCCATGAGTTAAATAATTTGAGGTTAACTTTCCCATATACATGTATCAATGGTCCTGATCATTTCATTTACTCAAAACAGTACGCAATAATGTGTTTGCGAGTCACGCTGGTGGAATTCGCCTATTAAAAAAGATGACCATTTTCGTGCAGTACCCTTCTTTTTCATCCGAAAAGTTCCGCTCCTGCAAATTGACGAAATCCCACTTGTGCTTACAAAGCTACCTAAAAGTGTGTGTCAAATATGCAGCCCAGGTGCTATCTAAGACTGCTGCAAGATTGATGCAGCAGAGAGGTGGGCCAGAGCTCTTGGTCAGCATTGTCTATGGATAAATGGTTTGATATTATGAATACTTGGCTAAATTTTGGATATAAAAAAGGGTGCTCCCGTAATATGTGTACCAGGTTGGGGTTATTAGGTTGTGCGCTATCTTGGTACACATACTACGGGAGTGCCTAAAAAAGTGCTCCGACCATTCCATAGCATTGGTGAGCGTATGATTTGGCTTGAAAATAATTTTCATTCCAGGAATACGCAACTGGAATCATCTGTCGCTGGGACAACTCAAACAGTTCTAGATATGTTGTATTTTTATTATGCAACTTACATTGCCTATTGTCATGAAAATATACTATATTGCAATGAAAATTTTGTTATGAAAAATAGATTGCTTTGTTTAATTACTGCTAAAGTATTAAAAATAAAACTGGAATCACATCTAAACGCACTACCTTGCAAAATAAAGTGAAAAGAGATCATGCTCTTCATCTACATTTATTTTTTAAGCAGTTTTCGTAGGGATAAATTCTGTTTGATGGCACCTTATTTTTCCAAGATGTCCAGCAGCAAATGATTCTATATTAAAATTTTCAAAAACTGTGGCTGTAACACCTTCATGAGCATAGTTTAATCTAAATTCAATTTTGAGCAGCTTGGACACTGGGCAATGGTACGGTTAGGCGTCCATATTCTGTTTCCTGCATTACTGCAATCATAGAGTCAGAGTTATCAAACAGTCCGGTTCGGGATTAAATAATGACTGGATTCTTTTGCAGTCTTCCGGGTCTTAGCATCGTTTTTGCATTTTTCGTAAAATAAACCCAGCATTGTATTGGATTATATGGACCTCATCGTCATTCAATATGATAGAACTTGAATCCAGTAAATCTGGAAAACATAGGGAACAGGTGTGTAATATTAGGATATCACATTATTGATTACATGAATGTCAATCAAACAGGGTCAATAATTGGAATTAAAATCGATCAAGCGCCTGTTAAGCTGGTGCGCACAATGTATGTATCAGTTAGTGCTTTATTGCCTACATTCAAAACCAATATTGCTTAGAAAACATTTGCGTTTTATAGCCTTATGTATGAATAAAAACCCAATTAAGCAATTTTTGCCAGTTAGTCATATGGTCCGTAAAATTATGGTATCTAAACATACCCAAATCCAGACAAATATTAAGCACCACACCTTTCGTTTTATCCATTTCTTTGGCTGTGAATCTATCAAATAATTTCCCGACAGACTGGAGGGTATAGTAAACCTGGAATACTCTGTTCGAGTGTGAGGAATAACGCTAACTGCATCACAGCTGAAGGATAACATTTGATCACTCAGGGCTTTTCTTCAGCAACAATTGTAAGTATTTGACCACATTTGGTAAAATATGGACAGTGGCTGCAATGATCTTCCACTACAATTTTCTCCACACTAATATCTCTGCCTAAAAATAAAAAAAATTCAAAATTATTTTGACAGATTTATCCCATGGTGGTTAAAAAAAAATTTGCTTTTCTATCTTGAGTTGTGGAAGTTGTATTAGTAATTATGGAATTCATGTAGAAGTCTATAATTATGTAAATCTTACCTTGTTTGTGAATATGTTGAGCCAAAGATGCCACGCTGGAAAATAACTTTTTACATGTTGAGCACCTTGAAATAAAACATAAGTTATTTTTTATAAATCTCAGAATATGTTGTTTATTAGCAAAAATATTGTCATGAAAATATCACATTTAAGTATGTCTCCATCTATAGAATGAAATCCAGAAAATATATTGATGGTAAGATAATTGAATGCAGATCTGTTCGGGGTCCTGCATTGAATCTTTCCTAACACTTTTTGCCCTCTGTCTGTCTGAAGCTCTCTTTTCAATAGCTGTCTTACTTTTGCTCATTCAAGGTAAACTTTTCTTCCATTGCCTCGTCAAGATCTATGAATACTGTCAGTTTATGATCCTCTAACATGAATGAGTCTAGTACGGTACAGGCAGACAGGTAATGTCTGAATGTATCATCAAATTCAGGATCTGATTCAGGGATTTAAACTCGGCAGCTCTGTCTGTCATATATCAGCACATGGTAGCTCCCTGAATAGTCACCCGCTAATGGCAACATACTGATAGTATATACCTAACGTATAGAAATGGTAGACTTACCTTTATTAGCCATAATAGCCACTGATTATATAATAACTACAGCCCTTGAGTCCGATGCGACCAACAGATAAGGTGAAACTGCAGCAAAACGCTGGGAACTCGAGTGGGCGTTAACGAATCAAGTTGCCGCAATGGAGCGTATCGCGTCAGACACTCCTCATTGGTCAAGGCTTTAGTTGCGCATCATGGTATGTTAGTCGTTGGGTGCAAGCAACCGTCTTGATATATATTTCCCAAAAGAACGCCGTTGACCTTTCTGTTCGAATCGACATGCTGACGTACAGAAAGCTTGATAGTAAACAATTACCTAAAACGTATCAATATTTCCCATTGAAGGTAATCATTAACCTGAACTGATAAAATGCCGCTAAAATATGTATAACTTGGGAAGCTCAGTCAACGGTGTGTTTTTATGTGTATAGGTCGCACGCGTGATGTCGAGAATAAAAAATACTTAATTAAGATGTGAGGTTCAGTATACTTATACAGAATCTCAGTCAACGGCGTGCATTTATGTGCATAGGTCGCACGTGTGATTTATTTGGATTTTAGATATGAAAATATTTGATAGTCAATCTGTTGACAAGAATATGAAACGACTTTAATTATGATGTGTGGTTCAGTAGACAGAGTCTTATATATGATTACTCATGATTCATCGTCTTTACTTGTTTCAGACCAGACTGCAAGAACGTGTTGACTCTATTTTTCTGAATATTGTAACCTAACCTTACAGTTAGATGAATTTTAGCCATATGCCCAAGTTTTTACATATTGCAATAAGATATTGAAGATTTTTATAGTTCACACAACAATAAACCTTTTCCATGTTGAGGATATTTCACAGAAATTCACTCGAACTTCCTTCACTAACTGCATTCGTTTGGAATTGTCTCGATTAGGAATGGGGTTTAACGCCATCTTCTGTGTGGATTTTCCATTCCTGGATTACGTAGCAAGGTTGAAATCCGAACGTATGATACTTTTTATAATCAAGCAGTGATAGCCTACATCTCTCGAATAAAAGATAGATTTATTTCCTCATTGCCTTGCATCTCAAAAAATTCCATTTGATATTTTCGGCGCCATTTAACCCTTTGCCCTTAGTATCAACTTTTCTGCGTTTTGTTGCCATTTGTTTAACTATAAAAGAACAATTGTGGATTATATGCTCGTTAGGTTATAATAAATTCTGTTACGTAATCGTTAAGTTGTTAGGTTACAATAAATTCTGTTACGTAAAGAATATTATCGTCAAAACAGCTGTTTTTTTAACAATAATTCAGTGAAACGTCGCCGACCCCTGACTTACGTGATCCAACCATATTATTCACAAGTTTACAACTAGTAAGGTGTGTAAATGGCGAGAACATATAAGGTCGCCATAACAGTTTTGCACCCGATTATTGTATCGTAAAACGTTATATTTCGGTATCCAACGTAAATAATAACATGTAATCAGGTTTTCACTACTACATATTTGAATACAAGCGATCAATTCGGAGAGATCCAATATACAAAAAAATATATTTGTTCACTTTTTTTGCTAGCTAATATTTTAAATATTTAAAGCTTTGTAGAATATTCTAAATGCGTCTTATAATTTACTTCAGTAACTACTATTTCTATCATTTTCAAATCGCGCGAAACACCTTTTTAAACCAATAGATTAATCAACATATCAGCACACTTTAAACCCCGAGGCACAAGATCAAACTCTTAAACAGGTATATCGAGTTTCTGAATAAACAATTGAACTCACCATATAATTAAAACACAATAGACTGTGCGATAAGCGTCAGAATGATGCCCGATTTAGGATGCAAATACACCATGATCTGGAAGGTAGGTAGGGCTTGGATGATCACGTAGGTCGTAGATAGTGTGCACAACCTGTGGCCTGCGAAAGTTTTAAAATTGACATGCAAGAGGAGATTAAGTCTGGAGTTACACAAAACTAAGTTTTGTGCGACTAGGCAGCAGCGGCAGGCAGCAGCATTGAATATTATGGAGGGCGATGGATGACGTTTTTGAATGACGCAACGTATATAAGTTGTTGTTACCAATCTAGAAGATCGAAAAAATAACTATTGTGAAAATCTTGTTGATAATAAATTATACTGAGTGCCAACATTTTATAGTCTTCAATACTTTAATATGCCATCCTACGTGTGGATAATTATTATTTAAAGCCTGAATTCAATGGTAGGATGATGAATGTCACTTGCAGGAGTATGTATAGTCGACAGAATTCAATACCTCGTTTCTCTATTTGTGAGACTCAAAGATAGTGAATAAATGTGTAAAATTGTTATGATTTGGTTGTTTCTAAAAGTTTAATATAGCCATATATAGGTCTACTACAAAATGATAAAGTCTGCACTTATCGCGCTGGTTATGACTCTACTAGCACGAATGTTATACGATCCGATGATAACAAACGATGTGTCGGAGGAATACGACTTCATTGTTGGTAAGTTAATCACTAATTAAATCTGGTCATTTATTGGACACGGTAGTGGGCATAACGATCGTTTCAATATTATTGGACACGTAGTGGACATAACGATCGTTTCAATATTATGTTGTTGTTGTTCTTGTTGTTCTTGTTGTTGTTCTTGTTCTTTGACACGTTTTTAAAAAGTCGCTTTTCTCTTCGAATACTGGACCAATTGCTTTGAAATTTTCAGTGGTTGAAGATTAATTTTTTCGCTAGAAGGCTATTACTTTTGTTTATTCTTAAATTTTATATGAATCCTATGAGATATGATATTCCATACAAAATTTCGCGGTATTTATTTTTACTCATGGGAACACTGTTTCACACTTATTTCAAGCGGTTTCGCGATCGATTGTCTTGCTCAGTACTACAGCTACTGTAGGTCGGTACTGGTAAGTTGCCATACCGGTGCCGTAACGCAGTGAAATTGACTTATTCCTTCCGCGGTATTACTAATGCTGCAATGCAAGTTTTATAGCCTATCGTATGCGGAACGGAATATCAGACCTACAGGTTCGGTACCGGTACTGGTAGCTCAGTACGTAAGTACGATACTGGTACTGGTGCCGGTGTCTTACCACAATGAAATTACCGTAACTTATTCTTTCACGGTCCTACCAGTGCAGTAATGCAAGCGTTGTAGCACTTGTAGCCTACTATATTTGTTTATTTTGATGAGAGTCTACTGGAAACAACATAAAATTTGAAAGGGAAGAATTGTTCTGTGATCAATTATCTGTCCTAAAGTGTAAATAACATAAAATTTGCAAGGGAACAACTGTTCTGTGATCAATTACCGTATATGGCCTACAGTGTACAGGTAAGATGCTGGCTGACTGCTAACCGGTACTGGTAGCTCAGTACGTAAGTACGATACTGGTACTGGTGCCGGTACCGGTGTCTTACCACAATGAAATTACCGTAACTTATTCTTTCACGGCCCTACCAGTGCAGTAATGCAAGCGTTGTAGCACTTGTAGCCTACTATATTTGTTTATTTTGATGAGAGTCTACTGGAAACAACATAAAATTTGAAAGGGAAGAATTGTTCTGTGATCAATTATCTGTCCTAAAGTGTAAACAACATAAAATTTGCAAGGGAACAACTGTTCTGTGATCAATTACCGTATATGGCCTACAGTGTACAGGTAAGATGCTGCCTGACTGCTAACTCAGTACCGCTTGACACGTTTTTAAAAAGTCGCTTTTCTCTTCGAATACTGGACCAATTGCTTTGAAATTTTTAGTGGTTAAAGATAAAAATTTTCTCCAGAAGGCTATTACTTCTTTTTTCGCTATGACGTCATCAAAATTATGTGACTCTACGTGTCCATATATTTGAGCATAGCTCTCTTGTGTTGTTGTTGTTCTTTGACACTTTTTGGACACCTAGTGGAAAATCTAAAAAGTCGCTTTTCTCCTGGATTACTGGACCAATTGCTTTGAAATTTTTAGTAGTTAAAGATTAAATTTTTCTTCAGAAGGCTATTACTTTTATTTATTTCAAATATTTCTGTTGGCTCTGTGAGATTTGTTTTTGTTTGCTAATGACGTCACCGAACGTTCTGCGGACGCTTCTGTTCTTCTGATCACGTGCCATCGAACGTCGGTGGTTCGTAATGGAATCCTTGGTTTGCTAAGATTTGAGGAATGGTGAATGGCGAATAGTGCCTTACTTCGTGTTATATTACAGTAGTGACTCGGATCGTTGGTGTTACTACAGTTGTGAGTCGGATTATCTTGCAATTTCAATTCACGCTGTCACAAGATAGAAACTTCTAAACATAGGGCAGTTCCGGTACCGTAACACAGAGTGGTGACACTGAACTAACTCGTAGCTGTCTGGTAAAAGCGGGGCTTGTTTTTTAAATTTTGTTCCAATATTGGAGAAGGGAATGAAACGGATTACTTAGTACTTCAATTCATGTTGCAATTGAATGCAGACAATTAGATTATTGTCACGGGACATGTGCAATGGGAGGCAGACAACTCGACTACACACGGACAACTCGACTACAGCTAGGCCTGGTGAGTTGTCCGCGTAGTCGAATTGTCCATCAGCCCTAAACGGCTATGACAGTCACTGTACCAAAATTTGTAACCCGATTCAGGTGGTGTTAAGTTGACGCATGTTATTTAGTAACGTTTTTATGTGAAATGTTTGACTGTGGTTCGGTACCTGATCCGGTAATACGGTACATAGTTGACTCATATCACGAGATATTTCAATTGATGTTTCAATATAATCAAGAAGAATGGATCATTGTCACATGACCCAAAATATCTATGACAGTCTCTGTACCGTCACGGTACCCCGGTCCCCGATACAGTTACTGGTAAGTCACCGCATATGATTTTTGGGGAAATTGTTCTGCGTGTCCATATATTTGAGCATTGCTCTCTTGTTTTATTAGAAGTTCAAAAGCAATGTGAGGTAGGACCTAAAATTAGTGTTTTCCATTTTTTTCAGGTTTTGGAATAAAAGGTATATATAATCAGATACGCAAAATCGTAATTTCATTAGTTGATAACTTTCACGCGCTTAAAAGACAAATTTATCATTAATAATGGTTACGTGCCACATGATTCTCAATGTTATAAATGATATTTTGCCGTACGAATATATCTTATTGTATCTTCAGTTTCATTTGGTAACATTACAGAGATGATCTATTCAATTAGAAATGTAGTAAAGTAGGCTATTCGCGTATTTTATACTTTTGTTATGAGGGAAGAAGGATTTTAAAATTGTGGTAAAAACATTTGCAAGCCATTGCCTCACTTGTACGAGCCTGGTGTACTATCCAATGAAAATCCTCTGCAAAATTCTGCATTCTGCGATTTTTAATTGCCTTTTCTTTTTTTTTTTATCTATGATGAGCATGAATTCAAATCGTGTGAACCATCATTTCGGAACCATGTCATGTTACCCACTTATGAAGCATACGCTTAGCATCACAATAGAAATACTAATAACAGATTAAAACTTTTTAAATTTTGAGACCTTAGGGAAGTTTTGGATAATTTTTGCCGGATCGTGTTCGCTTGTAAAATTAGCTTACAAATGTAGAGTGGATATTCGATTGAATAAATATATACAACAGATAAAATATTTACCTATTGTATTTTTCATTTCGCAGTTGGCGGAGGTGCATCAGGAGCTGTTGTTGCAAGAGAACTTTCAGACAAAACTGGAATGACGTACGCATTGCACACTAATTTATTATTGCTGAATACTCCACCTTGTATTTAATTTAGCAAACCAAGTTTAGCGAACAAGCAGCATAATATGTCAGTGTTAGCCAAAACTATAATTAATCAACTACAAGTAATATCTAAATGAAGGTGTTATCATTATCATAATGTTTTTGATAGAGCAAAAAGAGCAATGCACAAATGCGCCACCACTAACTGCCGCTACGATAGACTACTGTAACGTAAGCAAACGGCATTGGTATTATAGCAAGCTGGACATCCACATGAAGGCGCAGCTTCCCGCTTACAGCAAAATGATGTAATACAAAGCCCCCGAATATAAGGCACTTTTCGTTTGTTGCACTGACCACATGACAGCATCGGTACAACCCCAACCTTAACTATGTTCAAATGCCCCACAACCCCATGTATATATATATTGTTATCCGCCGTCTTAGATCATCTCCTCGCCAGGATAACAAGAAAAAAACGCCGAGGATTAGACATCTGTGTCACTTTCATCTTTATTGAATCAATTCTACTTTTGATTTCAAAGAATTGATGAGCTGTTTCATATTACGTTCCTTTGATCACTTGTTTTAAATAAATTCAGGGTGTTACTGCTGGAAGCGGGTGACTCAGATTGGAGCAATCCTTTAGTTCCCAGTCCAACGATGTTTGACATGTTGCAAGAATCTCCTGCCAACTGGAACTACGATATAGCAAAACAAAAATATTCTTTACTTGAAATGGGAGAGGTAATCATATCACATTTTAGTGTAAAATTGGATGAAAATCAATTGAAAACACAGATAACATAAAATGAAAACGATACTAATGCCTGAGAAACGGTTATATCTTGAATTATATACTTTTGTTAGAATGCGAAATATCCCGGGGGAAAAATTCTTGGTGGATCAACATCAATTAACGCAATGAATTACTTAAGAGGAAGTCCTCATGATTATGATTCTTGGGAAGATCATGGAGCAAAGGGATGGAGTTGGAAAGATGTTGAGCCAATTTTTAAAAAAAATGAAAACGCCGTCGACGAAAACATCTCAGTGAAGGCAGGAAGAGGAGGTTTACTAAATATCAGCATTTCATATCAACATCCGTTTTCTGTAAAGTTGAAGACGGCGGCAAAAGAAATTGGTAAGAACAAATCAAAGCATGAAACTGCTGAGTTTCTTTATCTATTTCAGTTTTTGGTTAAATCTAGTATCTGTTTCTCTAGACATCATATTATGTTTTTGCTAGTTTTTGATGTTATAGAAAATAATGGGAAATTATCCAACTTATTTCATATTTTATATACAAAGGTGTGGAAGAAGTTGATTATTTTGATGAAATCGAAGGAATATCTCCACTTGTTTGCACCAAACACAAGGGAATAAGACAATCGTCCTCAGACGCGTTCTTGCGAACGGGTTATAAAGAACGGTAAAGCATTACGTCAGTATTAATGTTAAAAGTTTACTTCACCCAATGGTATTTGACTACTTTTAAAAGTAACGCAACATCTGAATGAAAATTTGACTAAAAAAATCCGATCCTGTTTAGCCTACATCGTTTGCAAATACTGAATACCGAATATGGTTTTTGATTATATTCTGCAGAGAAGAATATTTGCACATTGTAACAAATGCACTTGTAAGCAAGATTCACTTTGTTACTGGCGCAAAAAGTAAACAGAAAGCTACTGGTGTAAGTTACATCAAAAATGGTAAAATAAACACCGTTGAAGCCAGGAGAGAAATCATTTTATCAGCTGGTACAATAAGAACTCCACAACTACTGATGTTGTCAGGAATCGGACCGAAAAATCATCTTGAAGAGATGAAGGTAGATTTTTTTTAGTACTCACTGAAACAGAGTTGAATTTATCATAATCAATATGTGATTGTTTGCTAAACAAATTAGTATTAAAACTATTCACACTACTGAACAGATACATAATAGAGTGGCCCAATAGGCTCTAGTTAGGAATTTATCAGGACAAGAGTGGACTGCTAACCGTTTTAAAATGTCCTGGAAAAAAGGACAATCAGTTGCTCATACCCAATTTCCGCAATTTCTAGACAGACCAGGAACGCCAATACAGAACACTGAACTTCTAACTTGGGCCTTTCAGAGTTTATAAGTATATTATTAAAAGGGTACTCGCACTAAAATGTCGCACAGCCTGAACACTAACCTGATACACAGCCTGAGTTCAGGTTGTGCGCCATCTTGGTGCGCATACTTCTGGAGGTCCATTAAAAGTAACTATGAAGATAAGAATAATTTATCCACAATTTTTAACTGATCCCATGAATAAAATTAATCGTTCTCATGACATTTATCAACAATTGAATCTGATATGCCAATTCTGTATTTGACTTGTATTCAATTTGAAATGTTTACTCATAATTATATTATTCAATACAATTAAACTTAAACACATAACGTGTAGATATATAACTTGTGGAAAATTCTGAATGACTGACTAAAATTTTTTGTCTTCCAGATAGAAGTTGTAGAGGATTTGCCAGGCGTGGGAGTAAATTTACAGGACCATTTGGAGATACTTGTTTTTCACGCAATTGACGATCACCAGTATGCGACACAATCAGTAAGTACAATGGGTAAGAAAAGATTTCATGAATTTCCACTTCGAAATTCACGACTAATCAAATTTTCAATTCGAAAAAACTCTTTTGAAGACTTTTTTTGAAACATGAGGTCTGCTTTTGAACAAGTTTCTCGATCCTCCTGCATTTTTTATTGTAATACCCACAATGACACTGAAAACTGGACGATTACAGTTTGGGAGTTTAGCAATGTCTAAATTCGCATAAATTTTGGTTAGAACAAGTGAAAATCTTTTCTAGACAGCTCGCAACCTTATCTTTCTCTATATGGTCTTGTAAAAACGTGGCCTTTAGTACCATTAAGTTCCAACAATGCTAAACTCGGGACTATATTATACAATTTTTATGATTTTATGTTTCATATCATTTTTTAGGATATTTAGCCTGGAGTTAACAAGTGGAACAATACGATTTAGGTAGCAGTGTCATAGACATTTGGTATCGTGATTTTATTTTGCCCATTAACTTATCATTCTTCTCGACCATGCAGTCCCGTATCCTAAAAAGGAACATTGATACCACATCTTACAGCATTTTCAAATAAATTCAACAAATCTCTATTTGGGTGGATATGAAAAAGTAAACAAAAGATGTAAATCGAAAATTAATTGAGATCGTTATTTAGACAATGGAATCTATCATGGAATACATCATGAACGGCACCGGATATAACTCAGCAGTTTGGGGTAGTGGTGTTGTGCTCCATCATAAGACAAAGTATTTTGGAACTAATGTGAGCCTAAGCACCAAGTAAGCGAATATAAACAACAGCTAGTTGTGGGTATTTTTACCAACTGCGGTCCGGCTAGCTAGATAAAAAATTTAAAAATACCCTAATATCGCAGTATATCAATATATTTATCTGCTTTACCTCAATATAACACAATATGTGCGAATTGTAACACAATGGTAAATTATGCTGAATATGATGCTATATACTGTATATTTTTTTATTTGATAAGACAGTCCGGTAAATAGTAGTTTATAGACTATTGTTATTGTGTAAGTTTGTTGCCTGTTCTACAACATGTAAATAACATATCATCACACGGAAACATTTAAATATAAAGAGAGTTGTTTCAAGACAATATATATATATATTATAATTTCATTTTTAATTTTAGAAAACGACCATTTCCAAGTATACAAGAAATTTTTACCCCAAAGGATGCACCATTTCCTTTCAAAACAAAAGAAAACGTAAGAAATTAAATCGCAATACACAGTCATTGAGATATTTGCCGAGTAATGAAACAAATTTATATTTTAGTATAGGTTCAATACTGCACTGTTATTGGGAGTTCAGCATCCTAAATCAAAGGGTGAAATTCGATTGAAGTCGAAGAATCCGTTTGACCAACCTATTATTGATCCAAATTATCTATCGGAAGAAGATGATATAAAGATGTATATTGAAGGTAACTCCCGCATGAAAATTTGCTTTTATTATCAACTAACATTGAACAGTCAAACCTTTCTACATGCTTTCCATTTTAAGTACAACCATGATAACGCGACCTGTCTAGACTAGACCCCCATGATCAGTGGCGTAGAAAGACTCTCGTGGGTCCCCCCGCAAAAATATTTTGTGGAAATGAACCTAAAAACTCTCGGACATAAGCTAAAACAAAGTTTTTTTTATTTCGTCAAAAAGCGGTATAAAAAAGCAATGGTTAGCTAAAATTTGCGCTTTCGTGATAGCAAACTCATCCACCATCTTCATCATATCAATTTCAAGTTGCTTTAAAAATCAGTACGTGTGATCATTGTCGTGTAAGTTTTGGAAGAAAATTCATTCGCGCCGGCGCTATCACTTTTGGAGATTGAACACGCATCTGGTTTTCTACCGATACCACCGATGCTAGGCTTAATTCCTCCTCAGTTACGTTCGGTATTCCCAAGTCTAATTGTTTCAATTTTGGTTTGAATATTTCGTTTATCTTGGTTATTTTTTTTTTTTTATACGGTCTTCCTCTTCTGCCTTTTATTCTTCGTTTTTATGCGCCACTAAGAGGTTTTGCTTTCGACATCAATCTGACAGCCTTCGTAATTGTGCCGGTGGCCGGTGCAATCAAACCGCTCGACACCGAAAATCATCGACTTCGGCATTGTTACGTAACAAAACGATTTATATATTTACAGAAGAACTAACATCAACATTATAAGATGTGCATTACTGCTTTTGCAATGCAGCTTTTGGTTTTGCGGCTTAAATTTCTAAATTGCAGGGGTTGCGGGGGTGGATGCTACGCCACTGCCCATGATAAAACCGCCTACACCACTCAAACAACCATGATTACTAGACTTCGGTGATAAAATTGCCCACGCCAATCAAACAGCGGTTTATGAGATTATCCTGGTAGTGGACGCCTTAACTTGTATGATAAATAACAACCTATCTCAACTAACTAAATATGGACATCTTTTCAGCGGTTACAAAACTGAATTCACAGAAATACATTTGTGTTAGTTTACAGCAGAACTGTTAAATTGCATACGGTAGTTTTTTTTTATATATGCAGAAATTTTTGTCAAGTATAAAAATTGACTATTCTATCAAATTAAAGAGTCCAGCTGCACACCAACACAAATGTATTTCTGTAACGTTTTATCCGACCAGGGTCAGACAAGCAGTTTACAACAGTTTACATTGCTGTTTCCGAACTGTGGTCGACTTTCGTCGGTGCGGTTTTTAAATATTCATAGGTAGAAAACCAAGTCTACTTCATGTAAATTGCAAGAAAAAAAAAATATAGAATCAAATCCATCAAAAAAAAAAAATTATGCGTGATAACCCACATTAAGGAAAGCTAAACAGAAATCAGAAACATTTCAAACAGTTTCGCAGATTCAGTATTGGACGCATACATGCATTTATGAGCTTCATAATTCATAGCAGCTTAGTTCAGTCTATTTTCAGGATTCAGAAAACTGGAAGAATTCGAAATGTCACAAACTATGAACGAAATTGGGTTTAGGCTGATAACACCCGAAATATGCAACGGATCGCTCTACACGAAGCCTCCCAGGTGACTTTCCGATACTATATCCTATTTTCTTTGAAGTACATTTTACGTTGTTATGAAGCATCCACTCATACAACATAGTTTAAAAGTATAACAGTATAAATTTTATAAACCATGAGAAGTAAGTAAGAAACAAATAGGCCTACTCATTGTGATAATATTTAAATGAAGCTGAATGCTGCTGTCTACAGAAAACTGCCAGATTTTCCGTGCAAGTATATATATAACCGATTGTAAATTTGTTTTATTTCTCGTGAAAATGACCACTGAGATCGAATATATTCATAACAGAAATTCACATCATGTTATATAGGCTGCAAACAGCTGGCAAATGTATAGATAGCCTATATTACATTACTATTTTGGTAGCAATTTTACTTCAAAGGCCAGATGAATTTTACCGATGTTACGTGAAAAGTTATGGTGTTGGATATCACGCATGCTGTACTGCTAAAATAGGAAAAGAAAATGATGAAATGGCAGTCGTTGACGAACGACTTAGGTATGTAAATAAATCAATCGTTTATATGCTGTAAAATCATGGCAAGATTTTTGTGGCATAAAATATATATGTGATAAATACATTTGACATTGAACCAGTTAAATTCTCAGGCTTGCCCATGGGACATATTTTTCTGTCCCATCCCATAGCAATTCAAGCCCATCCCATCCCATGGGATTCCCATTGGAAATAATTTTCAATAAAACATTTTAAATTTGGGTTTAGCGTCTACTGATTAGGACTACATGTACAAAGGGACATACAAAACTTATTGACTTTGTTAACTTAATTTAGAACAATTATATAACTAACAAGAGAACTATGCTCAAACATATGGACACGAAGTTCATAACGAAATGTTCTGCCATCAATTTCCCCAAAATTATACGGCATCCTGAACAAACTTGAACAGCCACGGTAACCTACCAGTACCTGTATCAGGGTACCGGTAACGGTGCGCGGACTTTCCTATCTTTTCCAGGTTGTGTGACGATGATCTATGCTATGATTCAACTTTAAAATCGATTCCCATGAGTAAAAAATGATAAAGCAAAATTTTGGATGAAATATCAGATCTCATATCATTCATAAAAAATTTGAGAATAAATAAAAGTAATAGTTTAGGAGAAAAACGATTTTTTTTATAACGATATGAAGAAAAATTCGTGTCCCACGAAAATACAAATGTGTGTTGTCCCGTTCCATCTAATGTGGCGTTTCTCATCGAAATTCCATTCATATGGACAAGCCTGTGAATTCTGCATAAAATGTATATACTTACTCTGTGGAGTCGCTCCCGCATTGATGACCTCTTACCTCTTGTTGTACAGGGTTCGATATGTCGAGAGCCTAAGAGTTGCCGATGCATCCGTCATGCCTCATGAGACTTCATCTAACACCCAAGCTCCTTGTTATATGATTGGACGGAAAGCGTCAGAAATGATAAAGCAAGATTGGAACATATAATTGCAGTACCGTAACTGTACTGGATTTCCCCCTGTCCTTGGCCTCAGAATAATTCGTCTATACTTTACCACTACAAAAATTTTGGTGCTCATTTTGAGAGTGATTTCTTGAGTTTGCGATTACAAACTGGCTTAAATGTTCAAAATCATATTTAAATTCTGCTGTTTTGAAAGTGTATATTCATAGATAATGTTAGCCAGATCTACCATATCTTTTCTGTTTTTTCTTTAAAACTGACAGTTAAGTTATTTGATTCATACCTAAATGTTGTATACCCAACTTCAGATTATTGGAAACAATATTTCATATCTCTAAAAAGAAAACCTATTGCTATATTCCTTTAACTTCTCCAAGGAAGCTATTCGTCAGCTATGGCGTTTGCATTTATGTGCTTGTGCTAATCAAGGTTTTCCTGATTTACTCAAATAAAACTTAAAATATCGCGCGAGACTGTTCGCAACGTTTTACAGAGTTTTTGAAGTTTGAAGTGCAAATACGTTGCTCTCATCAAAACGATCCAGTGTACAGCATTTGATACTGTAGTAAGTTTTATTTTTCGCTATCCTATTAAACTTCCCATCCTACCAAACATTTAGTAAATACTTCATTGCAGTAACGTTCACCGCCGTTGGAAAACGACGCGGCCGTCAGCGTTCGTCGCGAGTTAGGCTAATTAAAACCGAAAAGCTCGCCGCCTGGGAATTTAACGGCTCGCAAGTCCAGCAAGGCCTTTTGTTAAAAATTCTCATATTTTGCATTTTATAGGCCATGACTAAATAGAAAACGAGTAATATTGTTATATATATTTAGGCTACTGTTTCAGATTCAGGCACTCAAAATCAGCAGCTCAAATTAGGCATATCACCATAGTTAACTGAATATAGTTCGCTCACGGTCGGTTCGCTACGCATGAGTGATGCGTTACTACGTCATCAGTTTCCTATATTTTGAAGCTTACGGTAGAGGATTTTCTTTTAAATTTATTTGCATTTATGTTGGTTGAAATAACTGAAAAGATATACTGAGGCATTAGGATTAAACAAGGGATCGTGGCATCTGCCAGTCATCTCTGCGTCGGTACCATAAGTTATCATAGTGGAGTAGGGACAGAGTAACTCTGCTGTTCTGTCATTGCATTTATTGGATAGTATTAAAGGTTTATACCAGGATTATAGCACAATAGTAAGAATTCAGATACTCCCATGTAGGGATGGACGATATAGAATACCGAATACGGAGGGTTCGAAATCCTAGGATTCGGTTTCCGCCTCCTCGGTGCGGTGCTTCAATTTTTGTATTTCGGATTTTTAATTTATTAATCCGTGACGAGCGTTTTTCTCTTTCGACGAAATCGCAAAAGCGTTTGCGACAGACATCAAGTACTGTAATCCCGGCTTGCGTTTTGTTGCCATTTGTATAACTATAAAACATGCAATTGTGAATTATATACTCGTTAGGTTATAATAAATTCTGTTACGTAAAGGTTAGGTTATTAGGTTACAATAAATTCTGTTACGTAAAGAATATTATCGTCAAAACAGCTGTTTTGTTACAATAATTCAGTGAAACGTCGCCGACCCCTCACTTACGTGATCCAATGATATTATTCACAAGTTTACAACTAGGGTGTATAAATGGCGAGAACATATAAGGTCGGCATAACAGTTTTGCACCCGATCATTGAATCGTAAAATGTTAAATGTAATTTCGGTATCCAAGGTAAATAATAACATGTAATCAGGTTTTCACTGCTACATATTTTAATACGAGCGATAAATTCGAAGAGATCCAATATACAAAAAAATATATTTGTTCACTTTTTTCTGCTAGCTAATATCTTAAATATTTAAAGCTTTGTAGAATATTCTAAATGCGTCTGATAATTTACTTCAGTAACCAGTATTGCTATCATTTTCAGAATCGCGCGAAACTCCTTTTTAAACCAATAGAATAATCAACATATCAGCACACCTTAAACCCCGAGGCACAAGATCAAACTCTTGAACAGGTATATCGAGTTTCTGAATAAACAGTTGAATACACAATAGAATTACCACACAATAGACTGTGCATTAAGCGTCAGAATGGTGCCCGATTTAGGATGCAATTACACCATGATCTGGAAGGTAGGTAGGGCTTGGATGATCACGTAGATAGTGTGCACAACCTGTGGCCCGCGAAAGTTTTAAAATTGACATGCAAGAAGAGATTAAGTCTGGAGTTACACAAAACTAAGTTTCGTACGACTAGGCAGCAGCCTGAATTCAATGGTAGAATGATGAATGTCACTTGCAAGAGTATGTATAGTCGACAGAAATCAATACTTCGTTTCTCTATTTGTGAGACTCAAAGATAGTAAATAAATGTGTAAAATTGTTATGATTTTGTTGTTTCTAAAAGTTTAATATAGCTATAATTAGGTCTACTACAAAATGATGAAGTCTACACTTATCGCGCTGGGTATGACTCTACTAGCACGAATGTTATACGACCCGATGATAACAAACGATGTGTCGGAGGAATACGACTTCATTGTTGGTAAGTTAATCACTAATTAAATCTGTTCATTTATTGGACACGGTAGTGGACATAATGATCGTTTCAATATTATGTTGTTGTTGTTCTTTGACACTTTTTGGACACCTAGTGGAAAATCTAAAAAGTCGCTTTTTCTTTTGATTACTGGACCAATTGCTTTGAAATATTTAGTAGTTGAAGATGAATTTTTTCTTCAGAAGGCTATTACTTTTATTTATTTCAAATATTTCTGTTGGCTCTGTGAGATTTGTTTTTGTTTACTATGACGTCACCGAACGTTCTGCGGACGCTTCTGTTCTTCTGATCACGTGCCATCGAACGTCGGTGGTTCGTAGTGGAATCCTTGCTTTGCTAAGATTTGAGGAATGGTGAATGGCGAATAGTGCCGTACTCGGTGTTATATTTCAGTAGTGACTCGGATCGTTGGTGTTACTACAGTTGTGAGTCGGACCATCTTGCAATTTCAATTCACGCTGTCACAAGATAGAAACTTCTAAAGATAGAGCAGTTCCGGTACCGTAACACAGAGTGGTGACACTGAACTAACTCTTAGCTGTCTGGTGAAAGTGGGGCTTGTTTTTTAAATTTTGTTCCAATAATGGAGAAGGGAATGGCACGGATTACTTAGTAGTTAGTATTTCAATTCATGTTGCAATTGAATGCAGAATAGTAGATCATTGTCACGGGACATGTGAAATGGGAGGCAGACAACTCGACTACAAACGAACAACTCACCAGAGACAACTCGATTACAGATAGACCTGGTGAGTCGTCCGTGTAGTACAATTGTCCATCAGCCCTGAACGGCTATGACAGTCACTGTACCAAAATTTGTAACCCGATTCTGGTGGTGTTGAGTTGACGCATGTTATTCAGTAATGTTTTTATGTAAAATGTTTGACTGTGGTTCGGTACCTAATCCGGTAATACGGTACATAGTTGACTCATATCACGAGATATTTCATTTGATGTTTCAACATAATCAAGAAGAATGGATCATTGTCACATGACCCAAAATATCTATGACAGCCCCTGTACCGTCACGATACCCCGGTCCCCGATACAGTTACCGGTGAGTCACTGCGTATGATTTTTTGGGAAATTGTTCTGCGTGTCCATATATTTGAGCATTGCTCTCTTGTTTCATTAGAAGTGCAAAAGCAATGTGAGGTAGGACCTAAAATTAGTGTTTTCCATTTTTTTTCATGTTTTGGAATAAATAAAAGGTATATATAATCAGATACGCAAAATTGTAATTTCATTAGTTGATAACTTTCACGCGCTTAAAAGACAAATTTGTCATTAATAATGGTTACGTGCCACATGATTCTCAATGTTATATATGATATTTTGCCGTACGAATATATCTTATTGTATCTTCAATTTCATTTGGTAACAATACACAGATGATCTATTCAATTAGATATGTAGTAAAGTGGGCTATTTGCGTACATTTGCATGCCATTGCTTCACTTGTACGAGCCTGGTGTACTATCCAATGAAAATCTTCTGCATTCTGCGATTTTTAATTGCCTTTTTTTTTATTATCTATGATGAGCATGAATTCGAATCGTGTAAACCAGCATTTTGGAACCATGCCATGTTACCCACTTATGAAGCATACACTCAGCATCACAATAGAAATACTAATAATAGATTAAAACATTTGAAATTATGAGACCTTTGGAAAGTTTAGGATAATTTTTGCCGGATCGTGTTCGCTCGTAAAAATTATCTTACAAATGTAGAGTGGATATATATATATAAAACAGATAAAATATTTATCTATTGTATTTTTCATTTCGCAGTTGGCGGAGGTGCATCAGGAGCTGTTGTTGCAAGAGAACTTTCAGACAAAACTGGAATGACGTATGCATTGCACACTAATTTATTATTGCTGAATACTCCGCCTTGTCTTTAATTAAGCAAACCAAGTTTAGCGAACAAGCAGCCTAATATGTCAATGTTAGCCAAAACTATAATTAACTACAAGTAATATATAATTTTATCATAATGTTTTTGATAGAACAAAAAGAGCAATGCACAAATGCGCCACCACTAACTGCCGCTACGATAAACTACTGTAACGTAAGCAAACGGCATTCGTATTATCACAAGTTGGACATCCACATGAAGGCGCAGCTTCCCGCTTACAGCAAAATGATGTAATACAAAGCCCCCGAATATAAAAAAAAATAGGCACTTTTCGTTTATTGCACTGACCACATGTCAGCACCGGTAGAACCCGACCTTACCTATGTTCAAATGCCCCACAACCCCACATGTATATATATATTGTTATCCGTCTTAGATAATCTCCTCGCCAGGATAACACAAAAAACGCCGAGAAATAGACATCTGTGTCACTTTCATCTTTATTGAATCAATTCTACTTTTGATTTCGGAGAATTGATGAGCTGTTTCATATTACTTTCCTTTGATCACTTGTTTTAAATAAATTCAGGGTGTTACTGCTGGAAGCGGGTGACTCAGATTGGGGCAATCCTTTAGTTCCCAGTCCAACGATGTTTGACATGTTGCAAGAATCTCCTGCCAACTGGAACTACGATATAGCAAAACAAAAATATTCTTTACTTGAAATAGAAGAGGTAATCATATCACATTTTAGTGTAAAATTGGATGAAAATCAATTGAAAACACAGATAACATAAAATAAAAACGATACTAATGCCTGAGAAACGGTTATATCTTGAATCATATACTTTTGTTAGAATGCGAAATATCCCGGGGGAAAAATTCTTGGTGGATCAACAACAATTAACGCAATGAATTACTTAAGAGGAAGTCCTCATGATTATGATTCTTGGGAAGATCATGGAGCAAAGGGATGGAGTTGGAAAGATGTTGAGCCAATTTTTAAAAAAAATGAAAACGCCGTCGACGAAAACATCTCAGAAAAAGCAGGAAGAGGAGGTTTACTAAATATCACTATTTCATACCAACATCCATTTTCTGTAAAGTTGAAGACGGCGGCAAAAGAAATCGGTAAGAACAAATCAAAGCATGAAACTGCTGAGTTTCTTTATCTATTTCAGTTTTATGGTTAAATCTAGTGTCTCTTTCTCTAGACATCATATTATGTTTTTGCTAGTTTTTGATGTTATAGAAAATAATGGGAAATTATCCAACCTATTTCATATTTTATATACAAAGGTGTAAAGGAAGTTGATTATTTTGATGAAATCGAAGGAATATCTCCACTTGTTTGCACCAAACACAAGGGAATAAGACAATCGTCCTCAGACGCGTTCTTGCGAACGGGTTATAAAGAACGGTAAAGCATTACGTCAGTATTAATGTTAAAAGTTAACTTCACCCAATGGTATTTGGCTACTTTTAAAAGTAACGCAACATCCGAATGAAAATTTGACTAAAAAAATCCGATCCTGTGCAGCCTACATCGTTTGCAAATACTGTATACCGAATATGGTTTTTGATTATATTCTACAGAGAAGAATATTTGCACATTGTAACAAATGCACTTGTAAGCAAGATTCACTTTGTTACTGGCGCAAAAAGTAAACAGAAAGCTACTGGTGTAAGTTACATCAAAAATGGTAAAATAAACACCGTTGAAGGCAGGAGAGAAATCATTTTATCAGCTGGTACAATAAGAACTCCACAACTACTGATGTTGTCAGGAATCGGACCGAAAAATCATCTTGAAGAGATGAAGGTAGATTTTTTTTAGTACTCACTGAAACAGAGTTGAATTTATCATCATCAATATGTGATTGTTTGCTGAACAAATTAGTATTAAAACTATTCACACTACTGAACAGATACATAATAGAGTGGCCCAATAGGCTCTAGTTAGGAATTTATCAGGACAAGAGTGGACTGCTAACCGTTTTAAAATGTCCTGGAAAAGAGGACAATCAGTTGCTCATACCCAATTTCCGCAATTTCTAGACAGACCAGGAACGCCAATACAGAACACTGAACTTCTAACTTGGGCCCTTCAGAGTTTATAAGTATATTATTAAAAGGGTACTCGCACTAAAATGTCGCACAACCTGAACACTAAACTGATACACAGCCTGAGTTCAGGTTGTGCGCCATCTTGGTGCGCATACTTCTGGAGGTCCATTAAAAGTAACTATGAATATAAGAATAATTTATCCACAATTTTTAACTGATCCCATGAATAAAATTAATCGTTCTCATGACATTTATCAACAATTGAATCTGATATGCCAATTCTGTATTTGACTTGTATTCAATTTGAAATGTTTACTCATAATTATATTATTCAATACAATTAAACTTAAACACATAACGTGTAGATATATAAATTGTGGAAAATTCTGAATGACTGACTAAAATTTCTTGTCTTCCAGATAGAAGTTGTAGAGGATTTGCCAGGCGTGGGAGTAAATTTACAGGACCATTTGGAGATACTTGTTTTTCACGCAATTGACGATCACCAGTATGCGACACAATCAGTAAGTACAATGGGTAAGAAAAGATTTCATGAATTTCCACTTCGAAATTTACCGACTAATCAAATTTTCAATTCGAAAAAACTCTTTTGAAGACTTTTTTTGAAACATGAGGTCTGCTTTTGAACAAGTTTCTCGATCCTCCTGCATTTTTTATTGTAATACCCACAATGACACTGAAAACTGGACGATTACAGTTTGGGAGTTTAGCAATGTCTAAATTCGCATAAATTTTGGTTAGAACAAGTGAAAATCTTTTCTAGACAGCTCGCAACCTTATCTTTCTCTATATCAGTGGTTCTTAAAGTATGGGTCGCGACCCAAACATGGGTCGCGGAAGGTTTAAAAATGGGTCGCAACAAGGTCGTCAATGCAAGGGCAATCTAAGAGGAGAAGGAAGAATTTTCAGCTTTCCCAATGTTTCAATTTAGCTTCTAAACTCTGGTATTTAAAAATAATGAAATATCAAATTTCATTCACGGAAAGAACTGTCTTGAGCTCATTGTTACATCACAATTCTGATATGCCAGTCACGTGTATTACTTTTATGGTATCGGTAACCATGCACGTCGCTTGTCGTTGTGTTGACCGCGTGGAATGTCGTCTTAGTGGATTAAAATAACTAAAAATGGGTGTCTTTTTGGTAATGTAAATTGTAATAGACGACGCAATGAAAAAGCTCGCTTCTCGACATTAGATTATTAAATATCTAGAGAAAATGTGACTTCATCTTGAGGCACCATTTACCGCGAACGAAGCAGTGTGTGCACATTTGATGATTAAAAAGTTGTATATATTGCGAGAGATACCGAAAGCCAGCTAGGATGTCGTGTTTGCGACGGACAGCGGACGCCTTTTCTGCTACAATTCGCGACAAGGCACTTGTGCGAGCGAGGATATTTGGCACTGGCGGTTATCAAAACTAAGCTCGCAATCGCCTCGATACCCGTGACAACTTGCGTATTTCGTTAAGTAAAATGGAGCTGTGTATTGAAGATATAATGAAAAGGAATTTTCAGTTTCATCAATCTCACTGAGTCAATGGACTGTTTCCAATAAATAGTTGTCTGTATTTGAGTCAAACTGTACTAACATTAAAAACACATTTTGCGTTGTTTAGGATTGGGTCGCGAGTATTCATAAAACTCAGATTTGGGTCGCGCTCGAAAAAGTTCAAGAACCACTGCTCTATATGGTCTTGTAAAAACGTGGCCTTTAGTACCATTAAGTTCCAACAATGCTAAACTCGGGACTATATTATACAATTTTTATGATTTTATGTTTCATATCATTTTTTAGGATATTTAGCCTGGAGTTAACAAGTGGAACAATACGATTTAGGTAGCAGTGTCATAGACATTTGGTATCGTGATTTTATTTTGCCCATTAGCTTATCATTCTTCTCGACCATGCAGTCCCGTATCATAAAAAGGAACATTGATACCACATCTTACAGCATTTTCAAATAAATTCAACAAATCTGTATTTGGGTGGATATGAAAAAGTAAACAAAAGATGCAAATCGAAAATTAATTGAGATCGTTATTTAGACAATGAAATCTATCATGGAATACATCATGAACGGCACCGGATATAACTCAGCAGTTTGGGGTAGTGGTGTTGTTCTTCATCATAAGACAAAGTATTTTGGAACTAATGTGAGCCTAAGCAAAATATCTGGGGTTAAACATAGACAATCGTCTACAGTGGGATGTGCACATCAATGAAGTGCGAAAAAAACTTTCACGTTCAGTAGGCATCTTGAGCAAACTCCAACATTACACGGACAGAAATACACTGAAGATAGTTTATTATTCTCTCTTTCAAACATATATCCAATATGCAGTTGTTGCATGGGGATCAGCCTCCAAGTCAAAACTAAATCCTATTAAAGTTTTACAGAACAGGGCCGTTAAAATTCTCTATAGGCCTACTGCTCATATTAACATGAATATTATGTATCATGAAACTGGTGTCCTGAAGTATACCGATATTTATCATCTAGAAATTGGTAAGTTGATGCACCAATTCCACAATTGTTGCCTGCCACAGGCATTTAATAACTATTTTGTCAAGCAAAGCAATGTTCACAATTATAACACTAGATCAGCATCCACTTCATCACTCCATGTACCTCGACAGACTTACACTAAAACTCAAAATTCACTCAAATATAAGGGTGTTATTATGTGGAATGCTCTCCGTGCTGATTTACGAAGCATGTCATACCAACTTTTCAAATCAAATATGAAAAAGAATTTTGTGTCGACTTACTTCGAATGTTTGTAACAACCCGACCAAGATCTTTATTGTGGCTGCTTTTATGACACCACCTGAAAAAAAATATAATGTGAAAGGTTATTGAATCACTGCAATGACCTAGTAATTACTGTATACTTGCAATAGTTAATATATTATGTCTTCATTACTTTACAGCAACAATCTTTCTCAATTTATAGCTCTTGTATCTTTATATGACAAACGTTCATTACTGTATTTACTTTAATGTAGTGAATGAGTTCATATCTGATTTCTGTAATTGAATCAATGCCCTGAGCATTGGTGACACATGTTATTCATATGTTAAAAAGCAAACAAAACATGTCCTATTAACATTAATGTTTTTGTGGACTTACTTCCAATTGTTTGAAACAATCTGTCTCCTAAGTTGTTGTATTACTGTTTTCATACCCTCACCTAAAACAGAGTGAATAATGTTATTGAACTATTCCTAATGACCAAGTACTGTAAATATGGCTTAGCTGTGATAATTGACGTAATTATTGCATTACTAATTTTCTCATTACGCTGTCCTTATATGTTCAAACTGTTGTCCAGTGCAAATTATTCTTTTAATGGACCACGTCTGCATTGATATACAGTATATCACTGCAGCACTGAGTACCGTTACCGGTACCTACCACGTTACCGTATCTCGTTTAATTTAATTTTAGCGTCACAGATATTCCGTCTTTCTATTTAATGCTACAAGATTTTATTACCTGTTTTCTTTGCTCTCAATATCCACCGCGTCTAATTGAAAGCCAGTGTTACGCCTTCGGAATCTGACGTTTATTGCCGACTGTTAGACAATGCGCATCACAATACAGCAATAGTATTGTTGTGACACAGTCCATTAATACCATCTCCATGGTTACCAAGTTAGTGGTGTTCAGAGTCGTGTTTTGTTGAAGTGAGCGACTGTTGATTATAGCAGATTGCCTCGAGATATTGTATGCATTTTATTTTCCAATTTATTTACACTGTATTTGACTTTTTCTTCTTTATAATATAGTGTCCAGAGTTATTTTATACGTGCCGCTGCTCGATAACCACCACTGATTTCCCGCGTCCTTTTCATCCTGTAATATGGCCTATTTATAATTCATTGCCATTTGCATGTTTGCGCCTATTTAAACCATGGTTATATATAAACTACTTATTAGTGTTTATAGTGTTCGCATTCAGGCTATTTCTAGACAATATATACAACACGTATCAGCATTTCAGACCTTTACTTACCCGATTAATCAGGGAATACCCTACGAGTTATCCGATGGGATGGGATTTTCAAACCTGTACCGGTACATTTTATTCTTCAAACATAACTTCCGAGTTTCCAAATTAAATTAGATGACGAATCTTGGGTGTCGCTGCTCGATAACCAAATTTGGTTCCCCGCGGCTTCCCTTCCCCAGTAAAAATGTGTGTTAAATTTTGTTTATCTTTTGATTTTGTATGTTATTTTTTTGCTGGTTGGAAAAAATAAAATTGACTATGACTATGACTAAGCACCAAGTAAGCGAATATAAACAACAGCTAGTTGTGGGTATTTTTACCAACTGCGGTCCGGCTAGTTCGGTTTGATAAAAAATTTAAAAATACCCTAATATCGCAGTATATCAATATATTTATCTGCTTTACGTCAATATAACACAATATGTGCGAATTGTAACACAATGGTGAATTATGCTGAATATGATGCTATATACTGTATATTTTTTTATTTGATAAGACAGTCCGGTAAATAGTAGTTTATAGACTATTGTTATTGTGTAAGTTTGTTGCCTGTTCTACAACATGTAAATAACATATCATCACACGGAAACATTTAAATATAAAGAGAGTTGTTTCAAGACAATATATATATATATTATAATTTCATTTTTAATTTTAGAAAACGACCATTTCCAAGTATACAAGAAATTTTTACCCCAAAGGATGCACCATTTCCTTTCAAAACAAGAGAAAACGTAAGAAATTAAATCGCAATACACAGTCATTGAGATATTTGCCGAGTAATGAAACAAATTTATATTTTAGTATAGGTTCAATACTGCACTGTTATTGGGAGTTCAGCATCCTAAATCAAAGGGTGAAATTCGATTGAAGTCGAAGAATCCGTTTGACCAACCTATTATTGATCCAAATTATCTATCGGAAGAAGATGATATAAAGATGTATATTGAAGGTAACTCCCGCATGAAAAATTGCTTTTATTATCAACTAACATTGAACAGTCAAACCTTTCTACATGCTTTCCATTTTAAGTACAACCATGGTAACGCGACCTGTCTAGACTAGACCCCCATGATCAGTGGCGTAGCAAGACTCTCGTGGGTCCCCCCGCAAAAATATTTTGTGGAAATGAACCTAAAAACTCTCGGACATAAGCTAAAACAAAGTTTTTTTTATTTCGTCAAAAAGCGGTATAAAAAAGCAATGGTAAGCTAAAATTTGCGCTTTCGTGTTAGCAAACTCATCCACCATCTTCATCATATCAATTTCAAGTTGCTTTAAAAATCAGTACGTGTGATCATTGTCGTGTAAGTTTTGGAAGAAAATTCATTCGCGCCGGCGCTATCACTTTTGGAGATTGAACACGCATCTGGTTTTCTACCGATACCACCGATGCTAGGCTTAATTCCTCCTCAGTTACGTTCGGTATTCCCAAGTCTAATTGTTTCAATTTTGGTTTAAATATTTCGTTTATCTTGGTTATTTTTTTTTTATACGGTCTTCCTCTTCTGCCTTTTATTCTTCGTTTTTATGCGCCACTAAGAGGTTTTGCTTTCGACATCAATCTGACAGCCTTCGTAATTGTGCCGGTGGCCGGTGCAATCAAACCACTCGACACCGAAAATCATCGACTTCGGCATTGTTACGTAACAAAACGATTTATATATTTACGGCAGAACTAACATCAACATTATAAGATGTGCATTACTGCTTTTGCAATGCAGCTTTCGGTTTTGCGGCTTAAATTTCTAAATTTTACCCGCTCGGGGCCCCCTTTCGCTGTGCTTCCCCCCCCCCCCCCGCGACCGCGGAGGTTGCGGGGGTGGATGCTACGCCACTGCCCATGATAAAACCGCCTACACCACTCAAACAACCATGATTACTAGACTTCGGTGATAAAATTGCCCACGCCAATCAAACAGCGGTTTATGAGATTATCCTGGTAGTGGACGCCTTAACTTGTGTATGATAAATAACAACCTATCTCAACAAACTAAATATGGACATCTTTTCAGCGGTTACAAAACTGAATTTCAACGGCATAAATCTCCTCCTGGCAAACGTTTCGTGTTATGATTTGTGACAACTTTGTTACCAGCTTTAGGCCACTATTGCAATGGGTTTATCAAAATTTTTCATGTCCATTGTTGAAAAAATGAAATAAAAATATCCAGAATTTATATTTCGCTAATAGAATTCACAAACGGTTTTTATAAATATCAATGGAGGTTGCGCAAAACCAACTCCCAATCCTTCATTGATGCCTTTGCGCTAGTAGATCCGTATGCGTATATGCAAGGATACTGTAGCAAGAATAAAAATTCCATAATATGCAATTCAAGAGTCCTGCTGCACACTAACGCAATGTGTTTCTAAACACAATAATTGTTTATTCATTGTTTGGTCACAATCAATTTCAAACAAACTTTTTTCGCCGTATTTACCACATGTTTGTTCTTTTCTTGATATTGTTGTAAACTGCTTATCGAGGAAATTTTGCTGAGACGAAACATCACAGAAATACATTTGTGTTAGTTTACAGCAGAACTGTTAAATTGCATACGGTAGTTTTTTTATATATGCAGAAATTTTTGTCAAGTATAAAAATTGACTATTCTATCAAATTAAAGAGTCCAGCTGCACATCAACACAAATGTATTTCTGTAACGTTTCATCCGACCAGGGTCAGACAAGCAGTTTACAACGGTTACATTGCTGTTTCCGAACTGCGGTGCGGTTTTGAAATATTCATAGGTAGAAAACCAAGTCTACTTCATGTAAATTGCAAGAAAAAAAAAATATAGAATCAAATCCATCAAAAAAAAAAAAATAATTATGCGTGATAACCCACATTAAGGAAAGCTAAACAGAAATCAGAAACATTTCAAACAGTTTCGCAGATTCAGTATTGGACGCATACATGCATTTATGAGCTTCATAATTCATAGCAGCTTAGTTCAGTCTATTTTCAGGATTCAGAAAACTGGAAGAATTCGAAATGTCACAAACTATGAACGAAATTGGGTTTAGGCTGATAACACCCGAAATATGCAACGGATCGCTCTACACGAAGCCTCCCAGGTGACTTTCCGATACTATATCCTATTTTCTTTGAAGTACATTTTACGTTGTTATGAAGCATCCACTCATACAACATAGTTTAAAAGTATAACAGTATAAATTTTATAAACCATGAGAAGTAAGTAAGAAACAAATAGGCCTACTCATTGTGATAATATTTAAATGAAGCTGAATGCTGCTGTCTACAGAAAACTGCCAGATTTTCCGTGCAAGTATATATATAACCGATTGAAAATTTGTTTTATTTCTCGTGAAAATGACCACTGAATTTTACCGATGTTACGTAAAAAGTTATGGTGTTGGATATCACGCATGCTGTACTGCTAAAATAGGAAAAGAAAATGATGAAATGGCAGTCGTTGACGAACGACTTAGGTATGTAAATAAATCAATCGTTTATATGCTGTAAAATCATGGCAAGATTTTTGTGGCATAAAATATATATGTGATAAATACATTTTACATTGAACCAGTTAAATTCTCAGGCTTGCCCATGGGACATATTTTTCTGTCCCATCCCATAGCAATTCAAGCCCATCCCATCACATGGGATTCCCATTGGAAATAATTTTCAATAAAACATTTTAAATTTAAGTTTAGCGTCTACTGATTAGGACTACATGTACAAAGGGACATATAAAACTTATTGACTTTGTTAACTTAATTTAGAACAATTATATAACTAACAAGAGAACTATGCTCAAACATATGGACACGAAGTTCATAACGAAATGTTCTGCCATCAATTTGATGTTTTGCCATTGTGTGACGATGATCTATGCTACATGATTCAACTTTAAAATCGTGTTCCCATGAGTAAAAAATAATAAAGCAAAATTTTGGATGAAATATCAGATCTCATATCATTCATAAAAATTTGAGAATAAATAAAAGTAATAGTTTAGGAGAAAAACGATTTTTTTATAACGATAAGAAGAAAAATTCGTGTCCCACGAAAATACAAATGTGTGTTGTCCCATTCCATCTAATGTGGCGTTTCTCATCGAAATTCCATTCATATGGACAAGCCTGTGAATTCTGCATAAAATGTATATACTTACTCTGTGGAGTCGCTCCCGCATTGTTGACCTCTTACCTCTTGTTGTACAGGGTTCGATATGTCGAGAGCCTAAGAGTTGCCGATGCATCCGTCATGCCTCATGAGACTTCATCTAACACCCAAGCTCCTTGTTATATGATTGGACGGAAAGCGTCAGAAATGATAAAGCAAGATTGGAACATATAATTGCAGTACCGTAACTGTACTGGATTTCCCCCTGTCCTTGGCCTCAGAATAATTCGTCTATACTTTACCACCACAAAAATTTTGGTGCTCATTTTGAGAGTGATTTCTTGAGTTTACGATTACAAACTGGCTTAAATGTTCAAAATCATATTTAAATTCTGCTGTTTTGAAAGTGTATATTCATAGATAATGTTAGCCAGATCTACCATACCTTTTCTGTTTTTTTCTTTATTACTTGAACTAAACCAACTAAACTAAATCTTCACAAGAAAATTGACAATTAAGTTATTTGATTCATACCTAAATTTTGTAAACCTAACTTCAGATTAATAGAAACAATATTTCATATCTCTAAAAAGAAAACCTATTGCTATATTCCTTTAACTTCTCCAAGGAAGCTATTCGTCAGCTATGGCGTTTGCATTTATGTGCTTGTGCTAATCAAGGTTTTCCTGATTTACTCAAATAAAACTTATAATATCGCGCAAGACTGTTCGCAACGTTTTACAGAGTTTTTGAAGTTTGAAGTGCAAATACGTTGCTCTCATCAAAACGATCCAGTGTGCAGCATTTGATACTGTAGTAAGTTTTATTTTTCGCTATCCTATTAAACTTCCCATCCTACCTGATATTTAGTAAATACTTCATTGCAGTAACGTTCACCGCCGTTGGAAAACGACTCGGCCGTCAGCATTCGTCGCGAGTTAGCCTAATTAAAACCGAAAAGCTCGCCGCCTGGGAATTTAACGGCTCGCAAGTCCAGCAAGGCCTTTTGTTATAAATTCTCATATTTTGCATTTTATAGGCCATGACTAAATATAAAACGAGTAATATTGTTATATATATTTAGGCTACTGTTTCAGATTCAGGCACTCAAAATCAGCAGCTCAAACTAGGCATATTACCATAGTTAACTTAATATAGTTCGCTCACGGTCGGTTCGCTACGCATGAGTGATGCGTTACTACGTCATCAGTTTCCTATATTTTGAAGCTTACGGTAGAGGATTTTCTTCTAAATTTATTTGCATTTTTGTTGGTTGAAATAACTGAAAAGATATACTGAGGCATTAGGATTGAACAAGGGATCGTGGCATCTGCCGGTCATCTTTGCGGCGGTACCATAAGTTATCATAGTGGAGTAGGGACAGAGTAATTCTGCTGTAAGAATTCAGATACTCCCATGTATGAATGGATATAGAATACCAAATACGGAGGGTTTGAAATCCTAGGATTCGGTTTCCGCCTCTTCGGTGCGGTGCGTCAATTTTTGTATTTCGGATTTCTAATTTATTAATCAGTGACGAGCGTTTTTCTCTTTCGACGAAATCGCAAAGGCGTTTGCGACAGACATCAAGTACTGTAATCCCGGCTTGAATATTCATAACGCGAAGACGGCGTTATTGCACCATTTTCGCGTTTTACAATTTTACTATGTATTTCGCTTATAATAATGATTAATATTGGTGCCGACTGCCATCTTACAAGCAATTTTCCGATTGCAACAATCCTAATTTTTTGGAATAGTGAAACATTCTTTATTTTAAATTAAATGTTTTTCCGAGTTCTCCCGGAAAATGATGAGTACTCGACGTTAAATGATAAAACATTATTTGCTATTAATTCAGATCAAATTTTACTTTTCGCGACACCCGGTGTCGTTTTAGTCGACGATAAATTAAAAAAGTGGTATGTATAACGACGGTAACTGGAAATTAAAATTTGGTAACAGAAATGAATTTGTCTCGATTTGTTATTTTAGACGTTCTGCTCGCAGGATCAATCGATATCTGGCAAAGGCACGATATCATATCATTCCGATAACCTACATCCCCATTAGACACCGACTACAGTCAGGACTACTGAGTCAAATAGCTGAGGAGTACACGCGCCACAACATCGCGTTGAGAGAATGCCATGACGCGTAACGAGAGAACTGTGTAACGTAAATAAACAAAGACGAAACGAGAATATCGGTCGGAGACCGAAGACTTATCGATCTTAGATCGGTAATTAGTTAATAACTCGCTAATTATACGACAACCCAATTAACCCAAAATCTATAGGCTTCTGGTCCGAGGTAAGATGCATGCACATGCAAAATTTGGAGCAGATTCAACCACGCGTTCGTGAGATATCGCGTTCATCTAACAGACAAACAGACAAATACCTATCAACATACTTACCGATCTTAAGATCGATAAGTAAAAAGCGTGAGCGAACTATATTCAGTTAACTATGATATTACGATATACGAAAGGTTAGGATGATACTGCGGTAGTCTAACTCTAATGCCACACGAGTACACAACTTTTCGTTTTATTTACAAGTTAATTGCAATTAGTACCTGGCATCACAGAATCATTAACAGAATGAGCATGATGAAGCTGACAAAATTTGTTAATAATATATATAGCAGGTGTGTGCAAGTATTTCGACAATACATTGTTGGACTAATGTTGCGGACCATAGTGTCCGCGTTTATATTGTGTGTATATTTATCTATCGAAAAATATTGGCTTGATTGGGGTCCATCAGTATTATTTACGAGTTTACACAGACAACTGGATTTTGGCGACAACTGGTGACAAGACAATACAATTAGTATCTTAATGCAAGAGTGTGTAAACTGCGGCCCGCGGGCTAAACCCGGCCCACAGGGAAAAATTGTGCGGAGAAATAGTAATTTTGAATGATGTGAGACCCAGAAATTTTGGTGCGTGCAAGTGATTTCAACACCTTTGCGTTGCAAATTCTATACCTAAGTCCAATTTATTATCTATGCAACGAATGTCATAAGAACAATAACCAAATTTTTTGTGCTACTAGAAAGCCTATGTTAAATAAAGGCGCGGCCCGCGGTTTCATTCAGTTATTTGTATCTGGCCCTCCTGTATTAAAGGTTGCACACACTAGTCTTAAAGCATGTAATTTTCCCCAGAATTTTTATCTATATATACAAATATATTATGTAAATCGTAAAATGTTATATTCAAGTTTAAAAGCATAGCGTATTTAGCTTTGCATTGCCACATTGTTTTGATACAAGTGATCAAATCAGAGAGTCTTCCAATAAATTCACACAAAGCAAAAATGCTCATTATTATTCTCTTGTTTTCTCATCCCTGAAACACAGAATAAAATGAATTTTTAAAATGTTGCAGAAAATTCAAACTGCACCTAATAAATTCATACTAATACCCACTTTAATAAATATCAACACACTTCAAACCCCGAGGCAAACATTTCCTGAACGATTTTTATCTGATCGCTAAAGCAAATCGTGCACATAAAAAAGTGTTCGCTAAATATTAATTATTGGAGTATGCGATTGTATCAAGATATTTCAGAATGCTCATACTTTATGATCTGTTGAGTAGAGCTTTATGCTTGGTGAATACTGTTGGTCGTTGAATAATATAGATGGCGATGGATGCCGCTTTTGAATGACAGTTAACCACTGATCTGCAAGTCTTCGTTTATGGAGTTGTTACCAATATAAGAGAACGGAAAAAATGCGAACATTTTTTCTCTGTTTGTGAGACTCAAATTTAGTGAATAAAAGTGTAAAATTGTTATGATTTAGTTGTTTCGAAAAGTTTAATATCACCATAATTCGGCTTATTACAAAATGATAAAGGGTACAATTACCGCGCTGCTTATGACTCTAATAGCTCGAACATCATACGATCCGATGATAACAAACGATGTAACGGAGGAATACGACTTCATTGTTGGTAAGTTAATGACAGATTAAACCCGTTTATTCATTTTATTTGAAGTGTAGGGTGGTGGTTCTATAAATTAGATATTTTCCATTATACGCCATGTTCTGGAATAGAAGATATGGGCAGTTGGGGTATAAAAAAAATCGGAATTGCATTAGTTGGTAAACTTCATGCGCTTAAAAGACAAAATTATCAGAAATATTGGTTACGTGCCACATATTCTCAACGTTATAAATGATATTTCGCGGTACGAATATATCTTATTGTATCTCCAGTTTTATTTAGTATTGATACAAAAATATTCATCCATTCAATATAGTAAAATACTCGTTTATTCTATCTTTTTGTTATGAGGAAAGAAGGATTTTGGAAATGTAGAAAAACATTCGCTGCATCTGCACGAGCCTGGTGTATTACTCACTGAAAATCCTCTGCAAAATTCTGCATTTGAATTCAATTTGAACATGATTGCGAATGAGCACCTACTTACATTTAGTGATCGTCGAAAATGAAAATAATATTAATATATTTGAGCCCTTCAAAAGCTTTGCATAACATTGTTTTGCCGGATCATATTCGCTTTTGAAAGTCAGCTTGCTTACAACTATCAAGTGAATATTCTATTGAATAAGTATATATATGTCTCATGAAAAAGAGGTAAAATATTGGAATATTTTCTTCTTCATCTTGCAGTTGGCGGAGGTGCATCAGGAGCTGTTGTTGCAAGGGAACTTTCAGACAAAACTGGAATGACGTATGCATTGCACACTAATTTCTTATTTCTGAAAACTCCGTACTACCTTTAAAATAGCAAACCAAGTTTTGCGAACAAGCAGCATAATATGTCAGTGTTAGCCAAAACTCTAATTAATTACCCACTAGCAACTTCTAAATGAAGGTGTTATCATTATCATAATGATTTTGATGAGCGGAAAAATGCATCATCATGAGTATTTGACTCAAGCTGTTTCATATTAGTTCAATTCATTGATCACTTATATACTCAGGGTGTTACTGCTGGAGGCGGGTGACTCAGATTGGGGCAATCGTTTAGTTCCCAGTCCAACGATGTTTGACATGTTGCAAGAATCTCCTGCCAACTGGAACTACGATATAGCAAAACAAAAATATTCTTTACTTGAAATGGGAGAGGTAATCATATCTCATTTTAGTGTAAAATTGGAAACTCAGATAACATAAAACGAATACGATACTGATGCCTGAGAACCAGGTAAATTTCGAATTATATACTTTTTAAGAATGCAAAATATCCCGGAGGAAAAATTCTTGGTGGATCAACATCAATTAACGCGATGGATTACTTGAGAGGAAGTCCACATGATTATGATTCTTGGGAAGATCATGGAGCAAAGGGATGGAGTTGGAAATATGTAGAGCCTTTTTTTCGGAAAAATGAAAACGCTATCGACAATAAAATATCAGAAAAAGCAGGAAGAGAAGGTCTTCTAAATATCAGCATTTCATACCAACATCCATTTTCTAGAAGGTTGGTGACGGCGGCAAAAGAAATCGGTAAGAACATGATGAGTTTCTGTATCTATTTGAATTCCATGATAAAATCTGCCACGTGTTATGCTTTAAACATCATATTATGTTATCTGCTAGTTTGGTATCAGAAGATATTTGGAAATTACTCAACTTATTTATTCTACAAGGTATAAAAGAAGTTGACTATTTTGATGAAATTGAAGGAATATCTCCACTTGTTTGCACCAGATACAAGGGATTAAGACAATCGTCCTCAGACGCGTTCTTGCGATCGGGATATAAAGAACGGTAAAGTATTACGTCAGAATCAATGTTAATTAAAAGTTCACTTCACCCAATGGTATTCAGATACTATTAAAGATAACGTACATTTGAATGGAAATTTGACTACACAAATCCGCTCCTGTATACATATTTTGCAAAATATTGAATACTGAATTTTTGATTATATTTTGTAGACAAGAAAGTTTGCACGTTGTAACGAATTCACTTGTAAGCAAGGTTCACGTTTTCACTGGCGCAAACGGTAAACAGAAAGCTACTGGTGTGAAGTACATCAAAGATGGTAAAATAAACAACGTTAGAGCCAGAAAAGAAATTATTTTATCGGCTGGTACAATAAAAACTCCACAACTTTTGATGTTGTCAGGAATCGGACCGAAAAATCATTTAAAAAAGTTGAAGGTAGATTCTTTTGTTTGTACTTGTTGAAACAGAGTTAAGTATATTGAAATCAGATTATTTGCTGAACAAACTAATAAAAAAACTATTTACACCACGTTCTGAACAGATACATAATAAAGTGGCCTAATATGGTCCCGTTAGCAATTTTCAAGGCAGGAGTAGATTTCAAATCGTTTGAAGTATGTCTTAGTAGAAAAAGATAATGAGTTGCTCATACCAACTTGCCGTCATCTCTAGATCGACCAAGAAGAACACAAATACAAAACACTGAAATTTTGATCTGGGCCCTTTGGCGTTATGAATGGGTTCACAAAAATGTATATCATCAAAAGTAATTATGAGAATGAGAATATTTTATCCACAATTTCTAACTGAGTTCACAAATAAAAGGTCTCGTATTGAATTTGAAATGTTTCTCCTAATCAGATTATTCAATACAACTGAATCACCATAAATACATAACGTGTAGGCATGTATGACATGTCGTTAATTCCGAACGTTCGACTGAAATACTTTTGCCTTCCAGATAGAAGTTGTAAAGGATTTGCCAGGCGTGGGAGCAAATCTTCAGGATCATATGGGGCTTTACGTTTATCACGCAATTGACGACTACCTGTATGCAACACAATCAGTAAGTACAATGTGTGAGAGAGTAACAAAAAAGATTTCATGAAACTTCACATCGGAGCAATGTCTAAATTAGCAAAAATTTGGGTTAGAACAAGTGAACCCGCAACCTTATCTTGCAATATACGTCCCTGTAAAAACCAACAATAAAAACAAAACGTGGCCTCCAGTAGCGTTACATGAAGCTCTAACAATGTTGAAGTAGGGGAATATATTCTAGTATTTTGACGTTATGTTTCCAATCATTTTTAGGATATTTATCGTCTGAAGGTAACAAGTAGAATAATATAATTTAGGTAGCAGTGCTATATACATTTGGTAGCGTGATTTTACTTTGCCCATTAGCTTTTTATTCTTCTAAATCAGTCCCATATTATAAAAAGTAACACTGGTAATATCACCACACATTAAGCATTTCAAAATTAATTCCAACAACTCCCTATTCGGATGGATATGCAAAAGTGAGAAAAAACTGCAATTGAAATTTAATTGAGATCTCTATTTAGACAACGGAATCTATTATGGAATACATCATGAACGGTACCGGATATAACTCAGCTGTTTGGGGTAGTGGTGTTGTGCTTCATCATAAGACAAAGTATTTTGGAACTAATGTGAGCCTAAGCACCAAGTAAGCGAATATAATTTTTTTTCCAAAATTGAAAATGCACTAATATAATTATCTGCTTTACGTCAAACCAACATATTATTTTACAATGGTAAATTATGACGAATATGAATATACTGTACACTATTTTGTTGATTTGATATGACAGTCCGGTAAATAAATAGAAGTTTAAAGAGTATTGTTATTGGGTTGTTTCAAGACCACTGTTATGTAAGATGATATATATATACAAATATATATTGTAATTACCTTTTCCCTTTTTAGAAAACGACCATTTCCTAGTATACAAGCACTTTTTACCCCAAAGGATGCACCTTTGCCTTTCAAGACAAAAGAAAACGTAAGAAATTGAATCACAATGCATGGTCCTTAAGACTGTTGGCGAGTAATGAAACAAATTTATATTTCAGTATAGGTTTAATACCGCACTGTTATTGGGAGTTCAGCATCCTAAATCAAAGGGTGCGATTCGATTAAATTCGACGAATCCGTTTAACCAACCTATTATTGATCCAAATTATCTATCCGAAGAAGATGATATAAAGATGTACATTGAAGGTAACTCTCCCAGGAAAAGTTGCTTTTATTATCGCCCAGTCTTGAACAGTGAAACCCATCTACATACTTTCAATTTTAAGTACAACCATGATAACGCCACCTGTCTAGACATCCGTGATAAAACTGCCTACACCATTCAAACAGCGGTTTATGATGGTCATGAACGGCTTAATTTGACAATCTACCTCACCTAACTGAATAAAGACATCTTTTCAACGGTTACAAAACTGAAGTTTACCGGCATAAATTTCAACCTGGCTAACGCTTCGTGTTATGATTGGGGACAACTTGGTTACCAGTTTTAGGCCGCTGTTGCAATGGTTTTACCATAATCATCATACTTTTATCATGCCAATCATTGAAAAACATTTGACGCAGGATATCATACAAAAAATTTTCCAAAATTTATATTTCATTATTAGAATCCACCAAGAGTTTTTTATGAATAAAGAAATTTTTTCATGTATATAAGTTAAACCATGAGTCTGGCAACTACATTAAGATGAGCTAAACAGAAAGCAGAAACCTTTCATTAGCTTGGTTCTCAACAGGCTATTTTCAGGATTTAGAAAGCTGGAAGAATTCGAAATGTCACAAACTATGAAAGGAATCGGGTTTCGCCTGATAACACCAGAAGTATGCAACGGATCGCTCTACACTAAGCCTCCCAGGTGACCCATATTATAACTAACTTTCTTTTAAATACTTTTTACATTTTTATGAAACATCCACTCATACAGCATAGCTATAAAGTATAACGAGCTATATTGTATACAGTACACGATTGTATAATTTGTTGATAAAAAAAATACATCATGATACCATTTAAAATTAAATGAAGCTGAATGTTAACTGCTGTTCAACAGAAAATTGCCAGATTTTCCGTGCAGGTATATGTTTAGGTGACCGTACATTTGAACCCATGTGTATATATACGAGTGCTAAAACCCATGGGTTAGGTTAGTATGGGTTCAAATATCCGCAAAACAAAAAAAATCCCATAGGTGCAATAATAGTATGCAGCTGCAACTGTCGTGGATTCAAATGTAAGGGAACCATATATATATTTATATCACCGATCGCAAATATGTAATGCATTATCGTGAAAATGAGATCGAATATATATTTAAATATAAATTTCACATCCTATTCTACAAGCTGCAAAAAGTTGTCAAATATAGATATATTACATTACGATTTTGGTAAGAAAAATTACTTTAAAGGCCCGATGAGTTATATCGATGTTACTTGAAAAATTATGGTGTTGGATATCATGCATGCTGTACTGCTAAAATAGGAAAAGAAAATGATGAAATGGCAGTCGTTGACGAAAGACTTAGGTATGTAATTGAATCAATTGTTTATATATGCTGTAAAATTATAGCAAGATTTTGTAATTAAACATATATATATAATATATATACGATGGATACATTTTACATCGATACATATAATGCTGAAATGTATAAAATTTACTTTGTGGAGTCGATCTCGCATTGTTGACCATTTGCCTTTTGCTGTGCAGGGTTCGATATGTCGAAAGCCTGAGAGTTGCCGATGCATCCGTCATGCCTCATGAGACTTCATCTAACACCCAAGCTCCTTGTTATATGATTGGACGGAAAGCTTCAGAAATGATAAAGGAAGATTGGAACATATAATTGCAGTGTCATTAACTCTACTGGATTTCCCCCGACCCGCGACCTCAGAATAATTCGTCTTTACTCTATGACAAGAAAATTTTTGATGGATATCTCGAGAGTGATTTCTTCAGTTTGCGATTATAAACTGACCTAAATGTCCTCCAAAATCAATATTAAAATTCTGCTTTTCAAGTGTTCATAATCATAGATTATGTTAGCTAAATCTACCATAGCTTTTATGGGTCTTTTTGATTACTTCAACTGAACCGAAAGAAAATACGGTGCTCTCATCAAAACAATCCCGTGTACAGCATTTAATACTATATATATTATAAATTTTGTCATCTTCATTCTGCTAATGCTTCTATCACGCCAGATACTAATAGCAATTAACTTGTAAATAAAACGAAAAATTAGGTACTCGTGTATGATTTATAATATAAAGACACAGTGTGCCACATTCTAGCAGAATCTAGGACATAGATATTCAAGAATACCATTTTTTTTCATTTATCTATCATAAGATTAATATGTTATTTGTTATTCAGGGGTGAGGGCTGATTACAACGAAACAAATTCTTTATTTTATTTTGCCAAATTTATCCATTGCCAATTCGGATTTAAGAACTTTTTTGGTATAGCCTAATAGAGTACTTTAATTTTCTTTTTAAACAATAAGATACATTTCCAATTTCTCAAGCACTTTAGGTGTATAAGTTTATTTCGACTCCATAACAAGCATAACAGGCAATAAAGTGGTTGAGAAAAAACAAATAGATTATCAAAACCGATTATCTAACAAAATATATAAATTATTCTATCAAATTAAAGGGTCCAGCTGCACACTAACACAAATATATTTCTGAATCGTTTCGTCCGATCAAAGTCAGACTCCACCTACCTCAGACAAGCAGTTTACAACAATGGCAAGAACGAAACAGCAGGACTCTTTAATTGGCTACAGTATCCTTGCAGTATACGCATACGGTTCCACTAGCATAAAGGCAAGATGGTGAGATAGTCTCGCGCAACCAAACTCAACGTTAATATACGATAAAATATAAGATAAAACTACTCAATAACAAATATTTGACAACCAAGTCAAGTTTACCTATTTGTTTCTATATTTCCGATTTCATTTACATTTATGTTCGTCGCTGTGAAATCGAGAGCCATATGCCTATATTCCGATGTCTCATATTTTTTCGGGTCGCGGTGTGGCGCATCGGGAAAGCGAGATTATTATTGGGCGGGAGGCTTGCTGGACTCGCTATGTTGATGGTTCATGTCGGTTACGGCTTTGCACTAACCCAGGGTCGTGCAACCTTTTTGACCGAAGGGCCACATTTAGTTTACTATTATGTGCGCGGGCCACTCAACATGATAGTTTTGCTACACTGACTACAGGTTAATGAACAAACAAACAGTACCCTCACGCCAAACTTTCACAAATATTAGAACAATAAAACTGTTGTTTCCCAACCACTGATGGGCCGCCATCGGTGGTCATTCCCGAAAGTTTTGCCGAAGACGAACCAAGACATTTGATCATTTTCATCACAGTTCTCAACAAATCAATACCTGATGTCGTGCCCATAATTGGGACAATGGCTAAGAGCTCTTCGATAATTTCGCAAAGCATCAACAATAACTCCACACATAATTAGCAGAAGACTTGATGTCAGTGCTTTTGTCAAGCGCCAAGGAATACGATGAAAACTTTCGCGCTTTCGCTCTTCAACACGGCGAGAATCGTCTGTCTTGACATGCCTATTTTTGCAAACGCCACTTTTTGGACATAAAATATTGGCAACCCTTTCTCAGATATTCACATGCGGTACGGTTGCTTTAGCTTACCAATATACCTGTAATGCCAGATGCTTCTTTTTTTTGCAAAACCAACTAATTCGATTTATCACGGTATTATAACAGCAGATACCACAGTCTACAAATATATTCACACCAAGCAAAGCAGTGCAGTTCGGTTTACCGTACCTTTAGCATCACCGGTATCCTCGAAAAACTTGAGTAGCAACGATTTTCAGAATCCGCCTCCATGCCGACGTTCGATGGCACGTGATCATGCGTCCGCAGTACGTTCGGTGACGTCATAGCAAACAAAAACAAGTCTCACGAAGCTAACAGAAATATTTGAAGTAAATAAAAGTAATAGCCTTCTGGAGAAAAATTTTATCTGTACCACTGAAAATTTCAGAGCAATTGATTCAGTCTTCAAAGAGAAAAGCGACTTTTTAGGTTTTCCACTAGGTGTCCAAAAACGTGTCAAAGAACAAGAACAACAACATAATACTGAAACGATCCATAGGTCCACTACGTGTCCAATTAAATATATGACGGCCAGAAATACAATTAGAAGCCCAATTTTTTCACGTATTACTTCTTATGCTCTAGTCTCGACGCAGCAGAAACGATGTTCAAGGCTTGAAATCCGTGGTCGCACACCGGTCGTTCGGGTGCAAATACGTCTTCCGAGTGTTGTACTTTGGTGGCTTGTTGGACACTTTAGTGGACATAACGATCGTTTTAATAATATGTTGTTGTTATTTTTCTTATTTTTCTTCGTCACCATCATTATTATAAAACCGCTTTTCTCTTCGAATTCTGGACCAATTGCTTCGAAATTTTCAGTGGTTGAAGTTTGATTTTCTTTCTAGAAAGCTATTACTTTTATTTATTCCTAAATTTCATATGAGATCTGATATTGCATTCAAAATTTCGTCGTTCTAAAATTTACTCATGGGAACACTGTTTTAAACTTATTTCAATCGGTTGCAAAATTGATCCTGCAGGTACGGTATTGCTCAGTTACCGTACCACAGTGAAATTGACTTATTGGACACGTAGTGGACATAACGATCGTTTCAATATTATGTTGTTCTTGTTGTTTGACACAGAATAACATACCTAGTGGAAATATTAAAAAAACGCTTTTCTCTTCGAATACTGGACCAATTGCTTTGAAATTTTCAGTGGTTGAAGATAAAATTTTTCCCCAGAAGGCTATTACTTTTATTCATTTCAAATATTTCTGCTAGCTCTGTGAGATTTGTTTTTGTTTGTTATGGCGTCATTAAACGTTCTGAGGACATCGGACGCCATTTTGTGTCCTACTGTACTGCTTCGCTTGGTGTGAATTTATTTGTAGACTGTGATCTGACGGTACAGTAAACCGTACTGTACTGCGAACAGACGTGTCCATATATTTGGGCGTAGCTCTCTTGTTCCTTTCGCGATCTTACTATTGCAGTAATGTCATATGTAGGTTTTCTAGCAAATCTAGCCAACCGTATATGTTAATTTTGATGAGAGCGAATTGAATTGAGTTTTTATATGCCAAAGAAGAACCGTTCCACGATCGAATAGCAGGCCGTCAGTACAGTAACAGGTACTGGTAAGCAATGTTCCCTCTTAATTTTTTGTAGTATGTGTGCGCAGAAATTTTGGTGTGTGCGCACTTTTTTGGGAATGACTAATATTTGTGCAAAACCAATGAGGAAATTTGGGTATTCTAACCGGGTAATAAGTGGGCCAACAACAAACTTTCTCAACTTGCCAACCGAGCGCATTGTTACATTACATCGAAATACGTCTGTGCGCAATAAATCTATGCGTGTGCGCAGCCTCTGAAATCTGTGTGCGCGCGCACACGCGCACACCTTAGAGGGAACACTGCTGGTAAGGTACCGTACGGTACCTCTGTGAATTACGCTCTCATCTTTTCGTTACGGTTCTGATGTAAACAACATAAATCATTACCACCGGACATGGAAGAGCTATGACAGTCCCTGTACCGTTATTTGTATCCAAGTACTAGTAAGTCAGTTACCATGGCCATGTAGCTATTTCACTGTTCAGATTCGTCAGGATACCGTACAGAAGGCGTAGGGTACCCTATGGGTTTTGGTGAAGTGATGATGATATATTTCGTTCATTCTAAGTGTCTATATATTTGAGCATAGCTCTCTCGTTTTAAAGCAATTGGTCCAGTAATCGAAGAGAAAAGCGTTTTTTTTTATATTTCCACTAGGTGTCTTATTCTGTGTCAAAAAACAAGAACAACATAACAACAAAACGATCGTTATGTCCACTAACGTGTCCAACAACATTTGCTCATTTCGGTTTTAATCAGGCTATCTTGCGACGAACGCTGGCAGCCGCGTCGTTTGCTGATAAACGATACTGTAACCGTAATGAAGTGTTCACTAAATGTCTGGTAGAAAGCAAAGTTTGATATGGTTTATCTACCGGGAAATTTGGCTTTATACAGTGAAAGGTAAAACATTGCAGTGCAGACAGGGTGTGCACATTTTGCGACAATACATTGTTAGACTAATAGATCGCAGGATTGGGCATTCATACGGAATTCAAGGGTTTACATTCTTATTTCCCCGGTATTTTCTGATGCTGAACAGGCTGTTCGTTTTAAAATAAATAAAAAAGTAGGCTGCGCTACTATCGGAACCGAAATCGTAAAACATTGCGTGCTTCTATTTGGGGTCGCCTTGCTAGAAGAGCACTCGAAAACAAACGTGGGTACATTTTACATCGTATATCTATTTGACAGTTTAAAATGCCATTGGTTTAATACAGCCCGTACCAAAAGAAAGTTCCATTTCATGTCAAGATCCTCTTTGTCCGTTGCTTCAGTTGGTAATATTTTTTATTTGTGAATTAAGTTTTTGTTTTTTAGCTCTGGAAGTATGTGATGCTTTGCACACATGGAACCTAATCCGCCATGAGTCGAGATTACAATAAAATTTGGTCAAATCTAATTAAATAAATCTGAATTATTCTTGATTATTATGCCGTGCTCTTATTCTAGTTTTTTTTTTATGTAATCTTCTGTAAACTGCGAAGTTTCAAGTAATCGAGGTATGTTCAGTGAAATGAAGTAGCCTATATGTATATTGATTTAGAATTAATGCCATGCCAGATCGACATATTCCCTGAAAACGGCACTGATTCGCCATGAATCGAGATCACAAATCCAAGATTGCAAATAAATCATAATTATATATATATTGTACCGTGATTAAGCTATCAGTGTTTCACATAAAAATGACTATTTTTAGAATAAATATCAAAACACTTCAAACCCCGAGGCAAATAAGAGAGTCCTTGAACAATTTTTATCTGACCACAAATGTAAACCATGTACGTAAAAAACATGTATTTGCTAAACATTAAATGGAATTGGAATATGCATTAAGATTGTGTCAAGATTGTTCAGAATGCCCATACATTATGGTTTGTTAAGTAGAGTATTATGCGCATGTATATTGGTCAGGTGTACACAACCAATGGCAGCCCAAAAACTTGAAAACAGCACGCAAGCGATGCATTTCTGTTGCACACAAATTATATGCCACAGCAATTAGAATATTATTCGTTTGAACCCTTGATACCGTTTTTGAATGACCGTCAACCACTCGTGTAATACGCTCTATAGAAAGAATTACGTTAACCGATCTCGTTGATCAGCATAAATGTTTTTTGAATATCTTTTTGCAAATTTCAAATTATTCTGGTTTCAAATTGGGTATCAAGTTTTTATATTATCTAATACAGCTCCTTTCCTGATCAACTTTATTAAGTTCAGTCCAAAGTGAAACTTTCTTGGCCAAATATTTGAGTATGTCAGTAAAAATGGAATTACAAAAAGGGATAGAAGAGGGTGAATAGTTGGCTGCAGATAACCAAGTGATAGCATGTATCAGCTTTATTTCTTGCGAAATTTGTGATAAGTAACGGACATTAATATGTCATTGTGAAATGTTGGATAAATATTCCAATCTTGAATTTGATAGGATTAATCGATGTTAGAATAAGGAATATTATTTGCAGGTATATAATATCCAGAATCCAATATTTTGTTCTTCTATCTGTGATACCGAAAATACAGAGAATGTAAAAAAAGGATTTTTTTTAGTTGTTTCGTAAAGATTTTGTACAGCAGTATATGCAAAATCAGGCCGATAATTGAAAATGATCAAGTCAACATTAGTAGCGCTGCTTATGACTCTACTTGCACGGAAATCGTACGATCCGATGATAACAAACGATGTTTTGGAAGAATACGATTTTATTGTTGGTAAGTGGTCATTGGTTCTATCTTATTTTGATTATGAGAGCAATATATAAAAAAATAACATAACAAAAACATACATGTCGAAGGAAACTTTATAGTCGCTGAATAAAAACAACATTTACCTCCATCTGCATTAGCCCCGCAAAATGAAATGAATGTGCAGAATATAGGGCCCAACATATGAAAAAGAAAAAAGGGTCCCAACCTTCTCCTACTTTTAAAAAAATTCATCAGTCTTTACTTTAACAAATTTGCAACAACCAGATGTTAACTGCTTGCTAAACTTCTTCAAAATTGTGTCAATAACTTCCTGTTAGTTAAGAACGAATTATTATATCCATACACAAATGTTTGAGGAATTTTTGAATTCCAAAATTTCTTTTTTTCCTTCTTTTTTTGCAGTTGGGGCAGGTGCATCTGGAGCTGTGGTTGCAAGAGGACTCTCAGACAAAACCGGGATGACGTGAGCAATTATTCCAATTCAAGAACTGGAGAAACCGGCTTTTAATATTATCAAATAAATGGCAATCACCAACCTTAACCAAAATATTCAAATATACTTCCTATTAGTATCTCAATCCATATCTTTTCTGAAAATGTTCTCACGATTTATAAATGTACTTAATATAGAATACCGAGCAAATTATTGCAAATTTATCTCTAAAACTCTATAGATTAAAAAACTGAGTTTACATACAAGTTTAAAAAGGTTGTTACATTGATATGTTTCTCCAATCATATAGAAGTTTGTTTAATTATAGTGCTCTATACTTTAGTCACGCGTAGAAAAGATAACATACCATGAACCGATGCCTCACAAAGAGAAGATTTGACTCATGTAGTAAAATAGCTATATTACAACATGAATTATATGTGGCTTAATATTCTATTTAATTTATTTTCATTGCTTTACAATCAGCACCCAACGCGAGTACCAATCAAAACAACGTCAATGATTGTTGAACTCGAGCTTTTTCAGATAGACTCCCATTGATCAGCGTTTGTTTATATCCAGGGTGTTGCTATTGGAAGCGGGTGACTCGGATTATGACAATCCTTTAGTTCGTGGTCCGATGGCATATGATATGGTGCAACAGTCTCCTTATAATTGGAACTACGACGTGGCTATGCAGAAATATTCGTTGTATGCAATGGGAAAGGTAGTCGAGATAGCTGAATTGTGTGCTATATTTTATAACCTTTTTCTACCACAAGCATTTACCGTTAGATGATAACTGCTTCATTGGAGAAACCAAGATTTTCCCGGTTGGGCGTTATTTTCCCAATTTTCTGCGCCCTGGGTGAGAAGATGGAATGATGTCTAACCCCGATTCCACGCAAAACCGTATACACAAAATTAGAATTAATACGGGGATAAGAGTCCGTATGTTTTTGGATGTACCGGAAAATAGTTACCTCCACTTCAGCTTCAAAACACAGTTATTTAATATTTCTCAGAATCCTAAATATCCTGGAGGAAAAATTCTTGGTGGATCAACGTCAATTAACGGAATGAATTATTTGAGAGGAAGTCCTCATGATTATGATTCTTGGGTAGATCATGGAGCAAGGGAGTGGAGTTGGAAAGATGTCGAGCCATTTTTTAGAAAAAATGAAAACGTTGTCGATGAGAAAATATCAGAGAAAGCAGGGAGAGGTGGTTTACTAAATATCAGCATTCCAGGCGAAAATCCATTTTCTGCAAAGTGGGTGGCGGCGGCGAGAGAAATCGGTAGGAACACATTTAAACTATGGAACTGATAAGTAATTGTATCGATTAAAATTTGTGACTGAATCCACGTCATATTTCTCTCAATGGCATATGTAATTTCATAGTTTATGTTGGAAAATATTGGGAGTGTATTTACCTTTTTTTATATACAAAGGTATAAAAGAAGTTGACTATTTTGATGAAATTGAAGGAATATCGCAATTAGTTTGCACCAGATACAAGGGATTGAGACAATCGTCCTCAGACGCGTTCTTGCGATCGGGATATAAAGAACGGTAAACGTGTTGATATTATAAAATGAAATTTTGCCATATGCTTAAAAAAACTACAAATTTAACCGGTTCGTTCATTTCACCCAATGCAATTTTTATGGAGTTAGCAGCTGTGGTCTTGTTATTTGAGTAATCAACGAGGATGATTTCATCTTTGTGGTTTCAATTGCCGTATACGAGCGAATTTTTGTTACAGCCTTTTTTATGCAGTAATTGTACACAAATTTCATACACAATATCTACAAAAGTAAACAACAAATTTATCCTTGTAAGATTTGCATTCAAAAGTAAACTCATCTGAATTCTATTTTTTTTGGACTAAAAAACTCGCATACTATACTTCTCAGAATATATTTTATAGACAAAGAAGTTTGCACATTGTAACAAATGCACTTGTAAGCAAAGTTCACTTTGTTACTGACACAAACGGTAAACAACAAGCTACAGGGGTAAGTTACATGAAAGAAGGGAAAATAAACAACGTTAAAGCCAGAAAAGAAATCATTTTATCAGCTGGTGCAATAAGAACTCCACAAATATTGATGTTGTCAGGAATTGGACCGAAAAACCATCTTAAAGAGATGGAGGTAAACTTTTGCGGTAAATTTCACTTGCGAGCAAAGAATTACAATATAATAGAATTAACATATCCGTGTTCAAGTTTGTTCAAACAGTAAGTGGAAAACATTTACATAATGTCTCAAAAACATACATAGCTGAAGAAAAATAAATCTCCTTACAAAAAGTTTGAGCAATAACCAATAATACAAAGCTGGATAAAAGCGTTTTTTGCTCAGATTGAATCCTAATTGATTTGTTCATTCTAAACTTCTTTGATTTGATTTTTTCGCAAATAACAGTAATCACGAGACTTTGGCAAAGTACCTACCGTAAACTCTGACACAAATTTTCAATGTTAGACTACAGTATTTTTTATTTTCCAGATAGAAGTTGTGGTGGATTTGCCAGGCGTGGGAGCGGATTTTCAAGATCATTACGGGATATTTGCATATCACGCAATAGACGACAACCAGTTTGTATCACAATCGGTAAGCTGAAGTCGTTTTTATACAGGTATTGTGGATATGAAACCGTAACGTTCATGAACAACTGCTTGAATGGTTATGCGAGAATGGTTTCGCAGCGTAAACCGCAAAGTAATTGAGACTCATGTTCAGACACCGGAATCGATCAAAGAATACATCATGAATGGCACCGGATACGACTCAGCAGTTTGGGGTGGTGGTGCTGTGCTTCATTTTAAAACAAAGTATTTTGGAACAAACGTAAGCCTAAGCACCAAGTAAGCGGATATATATTGTAAATTATTTTTCAAATCAACCCAAAAAGGTGGCGAGGATCTTTTAGTATCGTAAATGCAATAAAATTTGCTGCCATTTCAAGATGTTTTACGTACCATTTTGCGTTTATCAAACTAGGTAGTTTACCGTGTCGCCGTGAATAATTTCCCCTGAGAGCAGTATAGAATATTCATCCGACATACAAATTTTTGAATACTAATTATTTCGCGCAGTATCTATCCTACTATGTTTTTAATCCATACAATTCGAATAAATCTAAAAACATATCACAATGTATACACTATGATGAATACGTTGCCATGAATTATGTTGTAAATTTCAGGAAAATACTGTTATGTGGGCGCTCCCGTAGGCTGTGCACCAAGAAGGCGGACACCGGAACTTAGTATGTGTACCAGGTTAGGGTTAGACCATCATTTCATTCCAATTTTCCCTATTTTAGTTCTATTACGAGTTTGGGGACTAGCCAAATACACCCGAATTGTTTGCACCTGAAAATATGACCTAACCTGGTACACATACTGTACTACGTTCCGGTGTCCGCCATTTTGGTTCACATACTACGGGAGTACCGTTATGTGTTTGTGGTGCTACAGCATGTCAATTTATTTAACCTTTTTGGGTCAATCTCTCAGAAACCAACAAAAAGAGAATTTGTTCCAAGGTTTGTGATATTTCATAAAAATATATAATACTATTTTCTCTCTAGAAAGCGCCCATTCCCTACTATTCAAGTAATTTTGACTTCGAAAAATGCGTCTTTCTTTTTCAAGCCAAGAGAAAACGTAAGAAATCAATAATTATACACGATTACTAATTATTCATAACATTCAACTTTTCTGACTTAAAGTGTTCACGTTTCGTAGTCTAAACTCATTTATTTTTAATATGTATTTATTACAAAAATTATAATTATATAAAATTGACTCCAGGTTTTTAAAGAACAAATTGTTTAATTTCACACTTCTTCCAACGACGATATCCAGCATAAATTGACATCTTAAAAAATATGATATAATTTCCGCCATGTATACGATTCTTCCGAGTATAAAATTTGATTGCAAGATTACCTATCTTGTATTGTGACGTATTTTTAGTATAGGTTGCATACTGCATGGATGGTAGGAGTTCAGCATCCCAAATCAAAAGGTGAAATTCGATTGAAGTCTGCGAATCCGACTGACCAACCTATCATTGATCCAAATTATCTGTCGGAAGAAGATGATATAAAGATGTACATTGAAGGTAAATTTATTCTCTGAAAACAAAAACATTCAAACATATATTTATCTTGAACAATGAAACTATTCTGTATTTTACAATACGTGAACAATGAACATACTAGCCAATTTAGTAGATTTAGATTCGCGCGGCGACGAATTGCCTAAAAAGCGATAAATTAATAGTATAGTATATAGTTAGTTTCTTTTATTGAAGTGAGTGAAAAGATGAAAGGAGATTCAATTGCTGAATCAGTGATTCGGTGATGGTTGAGAGATTTTAACAAGTAAATTTTCCTTTCATAACGATCATTCATAGTAGACACATGACAGCCGGACTACACATCTCACAGTACGAGAAGCTAAAAATTTCAATACAGCTTATATTTCATCCCATTTATGGCAGTTTTATGTAACTATATTGAAATCCTAAACACACAATCTTTTATTTGCGCTTGAATTGAGCGAAAATCCTAGTCAGATGTCACAAATTATGTTGTGTGAAACTGGTCATACCTCGAGACCAGAGGTCCACTTAAACCGGGGTTTTTCGATATGGCGTCCCAGGACCCCTTCAGGTCCGTGATGACCTTTTATTTAAACGTTGCGACGTATAACTATTGTTGTCAGAAAAGACGATTGAAATTTAATTGCGTTTTGCAACATGTGTAAGACAGTATTTTCTGCTCCTACCAATATGATGACAAAATACAGGTCAAGAGTCCCCCTAGAGGCTTTTGCTTGTCATAAATCGTTCCAGAAATTGATGAATTGTGTGTGAAAAAGCAAGCTCATCCATCACATTATTGTTGAAACCCTTGCTTAGACTACACTACGTGAGTTAGGATACCGTACTATTATAAACTTAAACTTCTTAAACTAACTTATATCGTTATGAAGTTGCAAAATTTACGAAACAAAACTGTTCTTCAAATACTTTTATGAATTATTTTAAAAAACATAGGTTTAATCCACAATCATGGCACAAGATATTCACAGCACAACCTATTTGTTCCAAGGTCAGACTATTCGATTTTACAAAAATCCATACTGTTTCAAGGTCCGATTTTTTGGAATGAAATTAGTCAGGAAATAAGAGACTGCAGTTATGCATGCTTCGCCCGCAAACTTTCAAAAAAATATATTGATAGCTACAAGTGACATACTCACACCATCGGTCACGGTGGGTAGGAAGGCAAGAAACTAATGTGTTTTAACATATTGAATTGAGTTTTTTTTTCTCTCCTGTGTTAATTTATTTCAGTGTGTGTTAATTTAGCTCAATTTCGTTGACAAAATGGTCATTTTATATTTTTTTAAGGCTTTGACTGACTCGATGGCCCAAAGGTCGCTTCGTTACAGCCTCGTCACAATGCCTTGAAATTAATTTTGAAATAATGTATGTTAACTATTTGAAATTGTTGACGAAATACAATACTACTACTACTACCTATGTGATTACCTCCAAATATGTCCCAACCTACCTTAGTCCTTAAATACCAAAAACAGAACATTTTTGAGCGGCTTCAAAACTGAACTTTATCGGCATAATGTCATTCTAACCTGTCGTTCCAAGTAAGATCGCTAAGGCATTGGGTATGTCATGCTCGCAAAGTGTAGAACTTTTTTTAGATATACAAAATCAAATCTTAAGTCTGTCAGTTACACTTATATTTTACCATTGCAAAATTTTTGGTGTGTATTTTGAGAGTGGGTTCGAGAGCTGGCGGCTGTAAAATGGGGTATATAAATGTTTCAAACCATCGTTCTGATTCAAAGCATTTAACAATCTGTTTTTTAAATGTACCGATAGAGAATTTTAGCTAGTCTATCACAGCTATTTCTACACTGATATTCGATTACCGCAATTAAACTAAAACTCCTAAGAATACAACATGATCATTGAATTATTTGATTTATACTAAAATTTTCGAAACACAACTGAAAACTAACGAATAGAATTCAAAATCGCAAAAACGGGATATGTGTACAATGCCTTAAAATCTGTCTGAGTGACAAAGTGTCTGAGCGGATAGAGAAGAAGTCTATTGTTACATCACTTTTTGCATCTTGCTGATTGGCCTGTTAGGAAGTAAACAAGGAAGTCGATGCTCGGGGAAACATCCATTTCCGAATGACATAAGAAGGAATAAATCGAAGTTTCGCATATACGCAATATTAATTATGCAAAATATGCAATATGAATTACCAAACTTAAGGTAACGTGTATTTAATGTCAACTTAGCTTTCATTCACGCTTTTTAGGATTCAGAAAGCTTGAAGAGCTTGAAATGACAAAAGCTATGAAAGCAATTGGGTTTCGAATGATAACACCTGAAGCATGCAATGGAGCGCTCTACATTAACCCTCCCAGGTGATCTTCCGACAATATAGGAATTTTAGGGCTTTCGTTTCAAGTATCCACTTATACAACAGCCAGTGATAACATGTTAAAATTTATAGAAATGGATTTAGTAGGAAGCAAAAACCTTATATTGTAACGCATTTCTCATGCTTATCTTTGAAATGACTACTGGGAGAGAATACATATATACTCAAATAAAATTTCAATCATCCACGTGTCATGTTCAAACAACTAAGAAATCCAGTTACACCAAATAACTGTCATAACAATTTTATTTCAGGCCAGATGAATTTTATCGATGTTATGCGAAAAGTTATGGGTTTCCTGCAGCCCACGCATGTTGCACTGCTAAAATAGGACGAGAAAATGATGAAATGGCAGTTGTTGACGAACGACTCAAGTAGGACAATCTTTCTCTCCCATTTTTTGTTATTTACAGTTGAATTAGGATAAAGCTATCTGACTTAAACTAGAATGTCTCTGTACAATTTTTATTGATCCAGCAGTAGACACAGAATCCTAATTTACCACTAGCATATTTTGTCCCCTATCCGCCTTGTTAACCTATTGATTTTTTTTGTGAAGGGTTCGACATGTTGAGGGCCTAAGAGTTGCCGATGCATCAGTCATGCCTCATGTGACGTCATCTAACACCCAAGCTCCTTGTTACATGATTGGACGAAAGGCGTCAGAGATGATAAAACAAGATTGGAACATAAATGAATAAAATGCATTTTATTGAAAGAAATGTGTGTAACAATAAATAAGGAATATGATATATACTTCCACTGATTCTGTTGTTCAGTTCAACAATACAAAAGCGCAGATACAAATGTTCTTAGTTTATAGGTAAGTTAGTGGTACTGGTATAAGCGCCGGATTTCGAAAATTCTCCATAAATAGAACTCACCATAAATGGAATTTTCACCATTATATTTATAGAAATCTTCTATATACTATCCAACACCATGCAAAACAATAATATTAATGTCAACAGACATCAAACCCGTAGGCCAGGGGTCGGCAACCTATGGGCGCGAGCCAGATCCAGCCCGCGGAGTAAAACAAACCGACCCGCGACGCCCCACTAAATTATAGCGACAAAACGGCGGTTTTGACAATGAATTGATTTTTTTTTTAATCTACATTTGAAGAGTACATTATATTCTTTACACGTAGCCTAACAGAATTTATTGTTAGACACATGTACACTAAATTATATTATATTACAGGGGTTCTCAACCTTCGGTTCGCGAACCCCCAGGGGTTCACGAGAAGATTTCCAGGGGTACTTGGACGGCAGTCGAGTTTTTGTGTGTCGCTGTTTTTTAAAACTCCTTAATACTATCAGAGAAAAATGCGTGTCGATTGAAACTAGATGCCAATTGAAACGTAGATTTTCCCTGATGTGTTGCGTTGTTGTAACTGTGACGCAACAATGTAAAATTCACGTCTTTCGGTGTCTGATTACCAAGGGGTTCGCGTTGGTTATTTCGAGACTCGGGGAGTACTTGACAGAAAAAAGGTTGAAGGCTCGTTTAATGAGCCCACAATTTAATTATAAAAAGAGCAATGGCAGAAGAAACGCAGTAAAGTTAATGCTGAGTGCAGAGGGTTCAAAGGCGCAGAACAAAAAGAAATAGAACATTTGACGTCATTATGAAACGAAACATTCCAAAATCGGCTTAGAAAAACAATTCAAAGAAGATAATTATGGCCAAAAGAAGAAGGATAAGATTAAACAATTCAAAGTCGGTTTAGAAAAACAGAGCTCTTCCTTTTTAAAGCAATATACAACGAAAACGAACAAAATACTGTTGCCTCTTTCGAAAAAGCTTTTTCAAATTGCGTAACACATGAAGCCCTTTGTCAATGACGAATTCATGAAAAAGTGGTATTGTATGCCATGAAAAATGAAATTTATGCCCCAATATTAGCCTTTCTGCTAGAACCGTGAATAGGCGAATAGAAGAAATGTCAGGGGATGTGAAACGTCGTCAAAAGAATGCTGACGTTCGTCCTCTTGAAAATGAATTTAGGATGTTTAATACTCCGTCTATTGCCAACATGGATACGGTTGCAGAAAATATTCAAATGGTGCATCTTGAGATGCAATGCGGAAATAAAATCCATATTTTCCAATCCATATTCGAGAGATGTATCACTGCTTGATTTTTATAAAAAGTATTCATGAAGGAAATCTCTATCCAAATTTGACAAGTCATGCGAAAAAATTCACATCGATGTTTGGAAGTACATATGCGTATTGCGTACGTACAATTATTTTCGAAAATGAACATTACAAAGAACAAGCTGAGAACTCGGATTGGTGATGCCCATCCAGTGTGCCGCCTTATGTCGCCTTATGCCATTTGTAATTTTTTTTTCTTTCGGTTAGACGACTGAGTTCACAGTCTACGCACGCTGTTTGAAATCTGAAATTTCAACTTTTGATCTGTGTGAAAAAAATTTGTGATTCATTGGCCATCCGTTCGATTTTTAACATTCTAAAAATATATGTGGCCTGGCAAGACTTGCAATCCTCAATTTTGGCAGGCAAGCGACAAAAGGTTGCCGATCCCTGCCGTAGGCAAATAACCATGTACCTAAACCGGGCCCATCTAATTGCTGAATCGCACATAACAAACATTGGATTAATAATCAATAGATATGCAATATGTATCACGATTGTATCAGATTTAGAATGCAAGACAAGCGCAATTCGAGCATAGTTGAATCTGCTACATTTCTGATGAGTATTACGTTTTTCGAACCAATTGATCGAACGGAATATAACCACCTTTATACTCCCATTTTATTACGTGCGTAAGACGTAAGGGTAAGAGTGACAAGCACCACAAACATAATATGTCAGTTGTCAATTTGGATCTAAGCAGATATACACTCTTATTTACACACTTTTTTTCTCGAATGCGGTTAGGAATAAATGATGTTTGCAGTAATACAGAACAAGTTCATGTATGTAGAAATGCATTCAATATGTAGGGAGACTTTTTTAGGAAAGATGGCTTAGTTTTACCTGATCAGTGTATTTACTAACAACGGTTCATACATTCTGTCACATAGTATCGGTCTATCATCGCAAATAGCTTGTTTAGACTAAACCACAACCGCGTTGTAGCAGTTCAATTGGGGTGAATTCTGCATTCAGATTCGTGACGAAGCTTCTAGCATTTTATGTGAACCGTTTGTTAATATAACGTCGCATAAGTAACTTTTATCGACTTATAAAGTTTGACTTTAAATTTAGGCAAGTCGGAGTTTTAGAGGCAAGTTTATATCATTAGGTACCAAAGTTGTAACTCAAGTGTGTTGTAAATGATAACTCTTAGGTAGCCGTTTAAAAGATTGTCTCGTTTTTTGGGTGAAACACTACTCCATTGTACCTATACGGGCGTGTGTATGTAGTGCCCCTCTGTTCATGTTAGTAGGAAATTGTTAGAGATAAACAGAGAAAATTGCGGCGATGACTTAATCAAAGAAATAGAACACAGGCCAACAGCTCAGATAATTGTCGGTAGGCTGAAACATGAGGTACCAAAACTTTAAATAAACTTTTATCTTAATTTCTTAGTTAAGATTCTATTTATATCTTGAGTTTATTTTTCATCCAATAAATAATAAATTAGTGAAAGGGTGTTATCGTAATTCCGAAGTGATACTTGGGTGCTTGCCGCCATACTAAAATGTATCGATTAGTTCTATACCAATTTTATAATCGATTTATATTCGATGAGTCGTTTTAGAGACATGGCGAATTGTAAATTTCATTTTTCTCAATAATTAGTGTAAAAAATGGATTACTGTCATTTCCGTGGAATTGTTGAATGAAAAAGGGAAAATATTTGTTGATTTATACACAATCTAATATGGACAGCATATAAGAGAACATGGTTGGGCAACATGACCTTGGCAATGTTGTTACATCAAAATCATTCCGCTATCGAATGTTTGGTTGGTGAATGTGGTTAATGTTTTACTCGAACACGATGTATAGAAATCAGGAATTTGGGAGTAATTGTTAGATAAAGAGCAGCTAACATAGTTTTTGGAGTTCAAAATATTAAAAAATATGTTTTAGAATATTGATTATTAGTATATATTATGAGGTCTTACTCTTGGCTGGCTGACGAAGATAATGGCAAGGAATCTATGCCATAGATTAGATTATAAAATATTGTGCATTTGTAAGTCTCGTGAAAATCGATATAATGCTCTTTGTAAATATACATAATAATGTTAGCTCAGTTTCAAAAATTGTCTTCCTGAAGGTTTGTAGCTTCCTTTAAATGTTTTATATAGTCAATAAATCAATATTAATATTTCCGAACGTTCGTATTATTTTGTAGTTTCTCTACAATATAAATCAAATAACATTTAAACATGCAAAATAATCTGGATCTTAACTCAATACAACTGCATTTAACGGAACATATGAAAAAGTTATCAATAGCGACTAACGGCCCAGAAGATTATAAAGGCTATCAATTCATGCCTGGATTTGGTTTTGAAGCCACTAAGTATGCCTACGATGAATGGAACATCCCTGAAAATTCAGTTTTTGTCTCAAGCTTTCCAAAAACAGGTGAATATTGTTTCATTTATCAAAAACTGTGGCCGCACGAGGGATGAATACCATTAGCATTGATTTTCAGTTTCATGCCCGAAATGCAGGTTTGTTTTTCTTATCCAAGACAAAATAATGTATAAAATAAAAGTATAAAGAATGGAATTAAAAAATAAGATATTCCAGTATAATATTGTTTTTTTTACTAAATACTAGACTTCTTCAATTTTTGCTACACTTTGGCCATTATTTGTACTGAAACGAAATCATTAGTTCACATTCAATTAATTTTCTTTCAAACCGTTGTGTGATAGGTACGGCATGGTGTATGGAAATTGTGAAACAAATATTATATGGCAGAGATGAGAAACTTCTAGATATGTATCTTGCTGTTCCGATGCCAATGTTTCTGTTAGAAATGAGTTTCCGTAAGTAAATTTGTTTCCGTATATACATAATATACATACATACATAAATATAAGTACCTAACGTCAAGTCCACAGCCATTCATCGTTAGAGTCTTTGGTCAAGACCAACTAATTGCATATTATATCGCTGATATAAATTGAGTCCCAACTCTACTCAGTCACAATTCCGTTTATTTCTAGTCCAGTTAATTAATGGTAAAGTGCTTCATTTCAAATACTCTAATCAAGTAAATCTTGGTAAGTATGGATTCATTTAATCTGGAAGGCCATTGCCATTCTGATAGTCGGTAAAAAAATAACCCAATTCGACTTAATGAATCGGGTCTAAATAGTCCAAACAAGTAAATTCAATAAAATTATAGTGATCCGAATACATATTTATACTTGACTATTATTGATAATACATCCGTGTCGTATGGTCGTCTTTTAACTGGAATATACATTGAAGCCCAATTTACATTTTGTGAAAATTCAATAACACCTCTCACGAAGAAATATCAGGTTAAATCAGGTTTGGAAAGCAATTTTTGCACGTGTGTATACATAATTACGTATAGTATGATGATGATGATAGTATAAATGATATAAAAATATTTAAACCACCAAATTTAGCGGGAAAATTCGATGTGTTTGACAAACTACCGCATTCGACAAAAGTGTTTGCGACTCATTTACCAGTGGAACTTTTCAATTATGAGAAAATGAGAAGATCAAACAGTAAGGTATGTTAACGCTATCGATATTTTTTTTTTATCTTTATCGCGTATTTTTATTGCGTAAATATGCACCACCAACAAAATTACAACTAACGCATACTGAAACGCATTCTGAATCATAAATAACTTCTTCTGTATCAAAATTTAGCCTTAGCGAAAGTGTTTGTGGTTCGAACAGCATCCACAAAGACGAGAATCACACACACGCAAGTTAATGATACTTTAAAACCATTTATAAAATCATTTGAAGTGGCACAATATACAAGTAGTACAATATATACTACCCCGAAGGACCATTCGCTAAACTTGATTTCGAAATTATACAGAATTAAAAATTATTGCAATATCAACCCTGAATTTATACCGGCTGCGCAGTAATTTTATTATTATGTTACTGTTACTTACGTAGATGATATACGTCATGCGCAATCCCAAAGATCAAGCTGTTTCCTGGTTTCATTTCTCCAAGAAAATACCACTGCCTGATGAAACTAAGAAGCAAATGGGAGAAGAGTGGAATAAATTTTTCCATAATTACGTAAATGGTATAATTAAATGTACTGTATAACAATTCTGCTTGTAATAAACAAAAGTATTTTTCATTTATATTCATTTTAGGGCATGTTTGCAAAAAAAGCCCGGATCAGAGTTTCAATAGAAATACCTTTTATTGAGTAAACTCTGCGGGAATTACTTGCGAGCCCCAACATATCGCTTACATTGTAACGTATGCTTGAACTATGCGAGTACATGATAAACGAGTAGCAATTGTCTGTGCAAGGCACTAGATTCTGAACTTAACGTGTTTTTATATCGTGTATTATATACAAAAATTGAAATATTGATAGATTTACATTTGAGATATTCTTTTCAGGACAACATCCACAATGCAATAAAGAAGGTCAGTGGTATCCAGACCACATCAAGGAATGGATGAAATATAAAAATGATGAAAACTTTCTTGTGGTTGTGTACGAAGATATGAAAACGGTAAATATTTTTTGGCAAAATATTTAAATGTCCGCCGGGTCATGTGCCGGTACGGTAAGGCCTGTGCTTAATAAGCACTAAGCACTGAATAGATCGGTGGACAGGCGTGGCGGGGGTATACAAGCCCGGCGGAATATAGTGTTGCAATAAATTATAATAAAACAGCAACAATTCACGTGAAATATCAACTCTCATAAGACTCGAATTTTTTTTTTAAACAAACAAGAGAGCGATGCTCAAATATATGGACACGGAGGCCAAAACGAAGTAGTATGAGGTTCAATATGCCACAGTAGACTACCGGTACCGCAGTCATCACTACTTCGCTTGACTAACGCAAACGCAAAACTGCCACAGGGCGAACATTTTTAATTTTTATGACGCCCACAGTGGCCACAGAACTTTTTGAAATAAATAAAAGTAATAGAAAAAAAAAACAATATCAACTACTGCAAATTTTGAAGCAGTTAATGGAAAGAGCGATTTCTTTCCATACAAAGAAGAAAAGAAATACTAACAAGATGAACAATAACTTAAAAATAACAAAACGATCCATATGTATACATTTCGTGTCCAATAACTGTGATAACGTCTCCAGTCATCTTTGAGTACTGAAATTTTAAAATTCATTGATCTATAATTTGCAAGACTAGCAATTTTATTTCTCGACAACTAAAATCTTGTCAAAAATATTAACAACAAAAAATTTAGCAAAGCGAACCATATGTACACTTCATTTTCAATAACATACACACATGCGAATAAACCATATATATATTATGTATTTATCTTTTTTATCGATTTGGTCGGCAACACGGGGTTATTTTCGCTGTATTTGGGCGTCGAAAATATTTGGGCAACATTTTGCTGTCGCCCAAATAATTTGGGCTTTATTTTTTTTATGAATCCCGTGATCAAAAAATTTCCAACATTACCCTCAAATATCACCATAAAATGTTGAATATGAAATTCGAGCAAAAAAACTTTGGTTTTTGTCGTCAGTTTCTAGGCCTAACTATCTTTCATGTAGTTATTTTTGCTAAACTGTGGCTAAAAATATATATCATGATTTTCTCTTTTCTAACTCTGTTATCTTTCGATCAGAATTGGAGGATTAAAATTTCGCTATCGTATTGTATTCCAATGATGCACCGGAAACCTTATCTGGAAGTTGTGACACTGTTATGGTAAATTTCACCCTGATAAAATGTGCAAATTTGCAGACGAGACTTATGATGTCATATAATGTCTGTGTTTGCTTTGTCAAGAGAGATGAGAAGTTGGTTTTAGTTAATTAACGGTTTAAATCAAAGATTAATTTAGTTTGTACATAAGGATAACGTTCGCCTTACCGTACTTGGCATGGATTTCCCATATTTATTCGATTGGATGGCAATACTTTTTTAATTGCTAATATAATAAATTATCAGTGACTATAACCAATGACTATATATATTTCTTGCGGTGTCGACCATTTCCAATGATGTTCCTCATCTCCGCAAATAGGCTAAAAAAAAAGTAGTCTCTCGGAATTGGGCAACTCGAATATATGTTGAACAAACTGTATTACTTGCGTGAAATTTTGTCACACAACTTTTTATTGAATACCGCTGAAAATAGCTCACTATTTGCTAAAGAAAACGAGAGGCCCAATTGCAGCATAAATTAGCATGTAACCACAACGAAGCAAAAAGATAAATATATATATGTTCAATATAACTTTTTGCAAGGATGGTGACTTCTCACCTGTTAAAATATGTCTGCAGTTTTAAATGTTTTAAATGATAAACTAGAATTTGGTTGGAAACCGAAGACTTATCGATCGGAGGTTAAGGGATCCCCCAAAACAGTGGTCTTACTCCATAGTGACACCGTGTGTCCAATCACTAATTAATTAATAACTCGCTAATTATACGACATAATCCATCCAAAATCGATGGGCTCCTGTTCCGAACTATGATGAATGCACATGCAATTCGGAGCAGATTCAACCTCGCTTTCGTGAGATATCGCGTGTATCTAACAGACAAACAAACAAACAGACAAATACCTATCAACATACTTACCAATCTTAGGATCGATAAGTAATGAGTGTATTTGTGTGTGTTTTATTTGAATTAATATCTGAAACTAATTCCAGAATTTTCAAAGTGAGATTCGTCGAATCGCTAAGTTCTTAGACGTAGATCTTGGCCACAATGATGTCGCTAATGTTGCTGAAGTATGTTCTATCAAATCGATGAAGGAACAAGCAGATGTTGAGAAAACAGGATTTTTGAAGATTAATGTACGAAAAGGTATGATTATGACGGTGCGTTTTCGCGTGGAAGAATTTTTTAACCCTATCAACGTATGAAAATGTGTTGTTCAATATATGGTTACCAAATTCCTAAATATTTTATTTAAGACGAGTTAATCCAACAAATATTACCGACGGTTGCACTTGAATCCCAGTTTTTACGAAAGACAAAGTTGAGACTAGTCAAATGAAATTTAGCTTTTTATTTTTTCCAGCTGTTAGTATTTGATACGCATTTGATACTGGCGAACTGCCGCGTTATATTTTTGCGATTCATGATGACAAACAATAGTGTCACCATAAGCTGAGGGCTCCCGTTTCTATAAGCTTTGTTCGTAACTCATGTGGCAAAACTCGTCGACTGTCTAACGCTAACGATACTTTGCAATTAATTTCCCACAACCAACACTGCTGGAGGTGCGTAAATGTGTACTTTTCATCCAGGAGAGATCGGTGGGTGGAAAAACCAGTTCACAGTGGCGCAATCTGAACTAATGGATAAGCTGATAAAAGAACAACTAGGCGACACTGGCATCGAATTCACATACGAGATATGATTGAATGGGAACTGAACCTCGTGATCACGAATAAAGCAAAATGACTTTGGTCACACTTATCGTCGTTTCGTCTTTTTTACCAACTTTCAAGACATCAATTTTTTCATTAATGTTGTATTTTACATGCCGAAAAATATATTACTCGGTAAGCAAGCAAATGAAAACACTCAAGTTTAATGAAAAGTCAGTTGACTTCTAGTTGACTAGAAGATATTTACGCCCAAGATAAGAAAACAAAGCGTTTAGTAACAAAGGATCGTCTCACAAGAGGTCGAAAACACGTAGATATAAGCGTTTAAGCCATTTGGAATGAATGCTGAAACTTCAATTAAATATGGCCACGTGTGTGCTATCAAAACCTATGAAATAAAGGCATCCATGCAAAACAGTGCAACATGATTGGGTGAGCGAATGTTTATAAAACAATATTTACAAACAAATGTACTAACATTACACACATACAGCAACACATATTGTTGCAGAGATAGGTAAACGTTTATAATAATGGGTAGATTATCATTTAGCTTAATGTTGATGAATTATCAAAAAAAGGCCATTTTGATCACAACAGGAACAAGGAGTAGGACAAACGAATGTACTTACATTACAAACATACAGTATCACATCTTGTTTGAAGTTATAGATATAGATGGAGTTGGCAGATATAGGAAAACGTCCATAATGATGGTTAGATTATCATTTAGCTAAATGTTGAAGAATTATTAAAAAAAATCATTTTGATCACAGCAAGGAGTAGGACAAACAAATGTACCAACGTTACAAACATACAGCATCACATTATGTTTGGAGTTGGGGATATAGGAAACAGTTATAATGATGGGTAGATTACCATTTAGCTGAATGTTAAAGAATTAACAAAAAATGTCATTTTGATCACACCAAGAGGTAGGCATCATTTTATCGAACTTTTCTGCTTGGTATTATACTACTCCTCGCATTTCTCGGTCTGTCACCCAACAATTCACGATCAAAATCATGCTGACTCACTGTTGAAAATCTGGCACTGACACTCTGGTCCATACATGATGGTCTACTTTCGATTGTTTCACTCAACATTGATAGTGTACTTTGCTCTGCACGGCTGCTTATCTGCTGAAAGCGAAATGTATTTAATTTACATTTGTAATTAACTATTTCTAGTATGTACAGTATATGTGATTTTACATTACTTGGTTTGGGTCAGTATAAGGGTCAATATATGGTTTCCGTAGTAAATTGTAGTCAAAAATAGAGGGAAAGTCAGTTACTCAATGTTACTCCAGATTTAATTCAAATATCTGGAAGTCAATAAAAGATATCTTAGTTCATAATGAACCATCCATTTTCAGTGAAACAAAGCAAAAAAAGTTCTTACGAATCCACCAGTGGCAATACGAGTGCTTTCGTGGCGTCTCTTTGGCGTGAACATTTTTGATGGATTCGTTGCTGACGGCAAAGGTAAACGGCTACCTGTATGGTTGAAGGGGTTTAAAAATTTTGGCAAAAAAAAATATGATCATAGCCGAAACGAAACATAGCCTCGAAAAGAAACAAGACCGTCGGGAACCATTGTCGTATAATAAGAACAAGTATTTTAATTAAATAGAATTCTATTCGTGCGGGAGATCTCGATTGAAGCATTACTAAATTGCACATTTTTTGCCAGTGTCCTATTACATTTCTATTATGAATTTATATTTATTATTAGTTTAAATGAGGTAAATGCTTGCCTGGTTTATAAGCAGATAACTTAGAATGTTGTGCTGCGTTATCCTGTACCATGCAGCTAAGCGATTTTGATCGTCTACGCATTTTTCGATTTGCAAATGTTCCACTTGTTGACGGTTCCAGCAGATTGTCGGTGGTAGCAGAACTTTTTCTGCAACCTGTATATTTCAAATAAATATGAATTTATTAAGCATACAGATTTCAAAATAATATGAAAAACAACATTTACGTATATTTATGCACAGAACACAATTTCTACTTCATTTGCCTATGCCTCGACTTGACACAATAAAATGTGGTTTTACAAAATGTCCCCTGAGCTGCAATATAAATTTGTACATATGGATACCTACTTATGTTCGTTTTCAGTACTTTTGACGTATATTGTTTTATTGCGACTCCGACCTTTGTCATCTTCTTAACTTTAGAATCCTTAGACGTAGTTGTTTTTGGTGCAACTGGAGGTTTATTAGGAGAATATCTCATCGAACCCCAGGCTGTAAGTTTGACCTCTCCCAATGTGGAACCGTTTTGCGATGACGTAGCAGTGTCGTCATCATCTTTGCTCAAAATTATTTTAATATCAGTTCTTGACTTCTTCGCCCTATGAGGATTCGAGCTGCCGTACCTGATGATAGATAAATTTTGAAATTATAGCAATGATTTTAAGAAAGTTCAATATTATGCTAATCTAGTTATACGGACGATTTAAAAATTCCTTTTGGGAAGAAATATATAGTTTTGGGCTTTTTGGTCATAAATGAACAAACTTGCAAAAAAAAAGACGTACCGATTAACATATTCATTAAAATAGCAGCCTGATTTTTCTTACTTCAATCTTGTAACTAGCTTGTATTATGGACTAAAATGACTATCAATGCTCAATGCAATGACGATACTCTTGACAATATGACGAGTTGATAATAGACAATACATCTGAGTAATGAGTGCCCTTCAGGTTGGCTAGCAAAAAACTCATGTTGCTTAAAAAGCCTGGCGTCCATTGACACATGGCTTAAAATTTGAGTATTGAAATTCTAATGTATGAGCAACAATGGTAAACAACAACATCGGGCATGCTGAAAGCTAATTATAGAAAATTTGTAGTACATGTTCGCGTCTGGCAGAACGTTTATATATATTGAAAGATGACGTGCGAGTGAACTAACAGTATTGTATTGTATTGCGTAGTTTTTTGTTGGGACGTATTCTTGCAATCATTAGCATCCACAAATTGGTTAGCTATTTTTATAATTAGCCTAGGGCAGGGGTGGGCAAAGCGCTAATGCAGCAACAGAAGTATCACTGATATTGAATAAGAAAAGTAATCAAATCTATTTGTCGGACTGATATTGTCCCGATTAGTGAATCTGCCTGTACACGTTTTAAGTGAAAGTGGCAAAGCATTGTTTTTAATTTTGGTCTGCACGCGGAACAATTTTGTCGTTAAATTTAGACGATTTTGGCACGCGAGCCGAAAAAGGTTGCCCCTGGCCTAGGGTATCAACCATGGCCTGGGGCAGTGTTTCCCAACCCGAGTCCGCGGTCTCAAATGAGTCCGCGGAGCGTTTGAATGAGTCCGCAACGAGCCAGAAATTCACTGCGGGCCGCAAACATTTTTGCGAAACTTAACTATCAACCAAGTTACGATTTACATTGGAATTTACATAAAACAAAGAAAGTTTATTCACGTAACATTAATCGAGTCAATAATTACTGGTTACTGAGTAGGGCTGGGCATATATTCCAATATTCAACTAATAGAATAGCAATTTACTATTCGAAAAATTGGTAATAGGTGACGCGACAGGTCACTTGTGCGTCGCTTAATCAAACGATTGGATTTCACAACACACTTGCGGATTTCCGGCGAAAACACGAGTCGGCACACGCGTCGATAGATACCTGAGTGGTGTTTCTCGCGAGTTCGAACAACGAGGAATTAATTTTTAAAGGCGTCAATGGTGGCAACCCAAATTTTCTGAATGAAAAGCGACAACAATACTTATATTAAAAATAGAACAGAGAACACCATAACACCATACGTTTTTTTATGATGATCCGCGACCGATTGAAAACGCTTTTTTAGACATTGCAAATCGCAAAGTTTCGGGTGCTGTCGTAGTATACGAACCAGCAATGACATGTTTAATGTCATTAGTACCGGGGCATTTTTCTTAGGATCCTTTGCTTTATGGCCTCCACATTAGTACGTAAAGTACTGGAGCGCAGTAAATACTGTAAGGACATCTCAGATTTGTCAAATTCACAAAAATACGAATCAAAACATAATATAATCGGGCACTTTACCACGCATTTTTGTGACCACTGATTGTCATGATATTTTCTGAGTAGTATTGCATTTATTTCGTCAACATAACCGAAAATTAAAATGCGACGCAGATCCAAATTAAATTAATAATAAAGCAAGGCGATGAATGTGTATTTTTGATTTACTAATATATTTTGAATATATTTTTAATAAGTACTAAATCAAGTTGTACTGTCTGGAAATTTATAGCAGTTAGCAGGCGATAACAAATTCGCAAAATCGCAAGAAATATGTATCAAAACTAAATATAATCGCGCAATAAATTCTCAAATTGATATGTTCGTAGATTGCTGTGGCTTTTTAAAGAATTAATGCTTTCATCTTGTCGTAAGTCGACGCAACCGCAAGTTACCATGAACACAATCAAATTAAAATAGAGACCCATTTTAAATTCTCGTTGTTGTCATGGATTAAATATTGGGCGACAGAAAAGGCCATACATTATACACTAAAAAAGTCGGTTCTTTTCATGAACGCGTAATTGCGGCGAATTTCCAATTTTGATTCAATAAAATTCTGTTGTGTTTGGTTTTATTGTTTCTTCACACGGAGTGCGGTTGCAACAATCGCACATTGAGTCCGCAAAGGTTTTCGCCGATGAGAAAATAGTCCGCGACCAAAAAAGGTTGGGAAACGCTGGCCTAGGGTATCAACCATGCGAACAACTGCATTTCCTTTGGGCTATTAATAAATAAAAACCCGGCCATATTTTTTAAAATTTGGAGTAAAGTCTAAATTCTAAGCTTACTTCATTTCAGTTTCCAGTTTTCGTTTCTTTTTCTGTTGCTCTTGCGTCTGTTCATTTTCTTTTTCTTCCGTTACTCCTTTTCTAAATTCATCAACAGTTATTCCATCAATAAGAAACTCGCCATTATTCTCTTCCCACATAGCAATGTCTTTCATCATAGCTGCTGTTATTTTAGGCAATGATTTTTCCAAAAGTTTCCGTTTTTTCTCTTCATTGAGAAGATTGCCTCCTCGATTTCTGAGACGTGAAGGGTCTTTCGCTTTGATCGCGAATGCTTTCAACTCATTAACCGTGTCTCTCCAAGAATAGACTTTTTCTAAAATAGGTTGCCTACTTTGGAGTAGAATTTTAGTTTCTTCCAATGTATTTGTTATCAAGTCAAGGGATTCTTCAGAAACTGGCTGGTTTACAAAAATTTCTAAATCGGGAGCCAATAAGCGAGCTTGTCGTCTTATATTATGTAGCTCATTTAAAGTTTTTTCTGTCAAGTTTTGAAGAGAATCACGGCGCAGTTCTTTTAGCTTATCTAGTTCGGCGTATAAAATTGCCAAGTTTTTTTGTTTTAAACCGTTAGCCTCGTTTTCAATTTTGACTCTCTGTTCAACCGATATTTCCATAAGATCCCACATTTGAGTTACTTTCGATTTTATATCTAATATTTCTTTCTCTCGTTCATCCCTGGAGTTTTTGGTATTTTTCTCAAGTTGTCTCAAACAATCCATGTTCTCGTTTGTGACAATAAATGCATCATCCGGTTCCACTAACAAATTGATTTCAAATGTGTCATCAGGCGATATTCCGAGCTCTGTCATCCACTTGGCAACGCGTGGTCGAATTTCTCCGAATTCTTGCAGACTGAAGAACGAAGCAAAATATGATTCATTATATTTTGCACATCGGTTATTTACAATCGAAAATTTTTTTTATAAAATAATACCAAAAAATAATTTAGGTGCATTTGCGCCAGTGAATTTTCCTTTTTGGGTGTAAAATCTGATTTTAATTCAGTGTTCCGTAAAAGACCTCCGAACGTTCCGTATAGAATTGTTGTTTCACAATATTTTTCCGACATATTAACCAATTAATCAGCACGAACTTGATTTTGGAAAGAGTCGGTTGCGTTATAATAAGAATATATGAACTCTGAAATCCCAGAATCTCTTTTGTGGTTTC